ATACATCTCTCTATAATTAACTGCAATAAACACCATAAGTACACATATTTCGTATTCTTTTTTTTTAATGGCAACCTTCGAATGCAACGAATTGTTTGTTTCCTCGCTTGTACGCAAACTTCAAAACAATTAAAAACTTGGCTCGTTTTTTGCTTTGCAGCGTGCCATGCCATGGCGTGGCAAAAAAAAGACACGAGAACATTTTGTTGTCTTCATTTCCGCAGGTAGGTTGTCGGTACTTGATTCGTGCAATATTGCTGTGACACACTAGTGATAAAACAAATATCTTGTATGTATTGTTTTTTGAAACAACAACAACAATGGGTAAAACAATTAAATGAAAACTAAACAAAACTAAATTCAACACCAGACCAAAGTCGAGTCTTCAAAAATACCGCCAATAAAAGCAAGAAAAGAGAGAGAGGCAGCAATACGCAATCAAATTAAAAGTTTCCATGGCTCCGAATTATAATCCATGTGATTTAGGCCTTAACAATTAATATCAATTTTAAACGGTCGTTTTAGAACCTAAAAGGTCATTATTGGTCTTTTAAATCCAACTTCCATTCCATTTCCTAGTTTTAATTGCCACCATTCTTTGGTAGTTTTAACGTCATATGTACCACCAATGTACATTTAAGTGTTGTTTTTTTTTATCTAGCTACAAAAGGGGAGGGGGAGGTGTTTTTTTTTTTTTGAAAATTACATTGCAATCTTATCGAGGGCTGGCTAGTCTTTCCAACTTGCCAGCCTGCCAACACCTGTTTGTTTTACTATTAAAACTACACTACCATCGGCATGGTGTGGAGATGTGAGACAGAAAACACTGGGTTGTGTTTACCATGTTTTGATATCATCGCATCGTGAAATGAAGGCCGCCGAACTACTGCCACGAGTAGAATCGTAAAAATTGTTGTCAATGATACATCATTAATTACTAAATATTTTAGCATATTAACCCATTTGCTTTTATTACTTTGTTTTATTGCCTTATTCTAAAATTACTTAATTATTTAATTCTAGAATGGATTTCTACAAAAATTCGAAGGTAATCCAATGCCATCCACCTGGGAGGGGGAAGAGGAAAAAAGGAGAATAATTGCATTGCATAGAAGTGTCTAATTTAGTAAATAATCTATTTCAAGAAGAAGGTCATGTTTAGATTGGAGTCCTTCATAAAAGTCTTGAGTGTTCCATGATGATATGATTAAACCAAGTAAAAAAGCTGTAAGTTCGGCCGGGGCGAAGTTTGAATACCCTCCAACATTTGGAACCAATTTGGACTATACGAAGACGTGGACCTGCACAGACAATTTTCTGTCATAGGCTGTAGTATCCATTACGAACTTCAAATAACAAATATAAAACAATTCCGGTGAATAATATCGCTTATATAATCAAAATACCGAATATCGGGTGGTACGGTTGTATGTGGCTATACCAAGACGTGGACCTGCACAGACAATTTTCTGGCATAGGCTGTAGTACACATTACGAACTTCAAATACCAAATTTGAAACATTTCCGGTGAATAATGTCGCTTATATAATCAAAATACCGAATATCGGGTGGTACCGTTGTATGAGGGCTATACCAAGACGTGGATCTGCACAGGCAATTTTCTGTCATAGGCTGTAGTATCCATTACGAACTTCAAATAGCAAATACGAAACAATTCCGGTGAATAATATCGCTTATATAATCAAAATACCGAATATCGGGAGGTACCGTTGTATGAGGGCTATACCAAGACGTGAACCTGCACAGACAATTTTCAGGCTGTAGTATCCATTACGAACTTCAAATAACAAATATGAAACAATTCCGGTGAATAATGTCGCTTATATAATCAAAATACCGAATATCGGGAGGTACCGTTGTATGAGGGCTATACCAAGACGTGGATCTGCACAGGCAATTTTCTGTCTTAGGCTGTAGTATCCATTACGAACTTCAAATAGTAAATATTAAACCATTCCGGTGAATAATGTCGCTTATATAATCAAAATACCGATATCGGGAGGTATCGTTGTATGAGGGCTATACGAAGACGTGGACCTGCACAGACAATTTTCTGTCTTAGGATGTAGTATAAATTACGAACTTCAAATACCAAATTTGAAACATTTCCGGTGAATAATGTCGTTTAAATAACCAAAATACCGAAAACAGGGAGGAACCATTATTTGGGACGCTTTACCAAAACGTGGAGCTACCTGGCCCATTTCCAATACCAAAAGTATTTTAAAAAAGATTTCCATTCAATATTTCAATCAAGAAACTCTGTGTACTGGTTTTGTCTGAAAATTGACCTGAAATAGGATCAGGATCTATAATTATTAAAAAATTGAAATATTCAAATAGAATTCAAACAGTTTGCTTTGCTGGGTAATTACAATCCTGTTCATATGGATAGATATATACATAAATATTTAACTTTCTTAGTATGTAATTATTTTGGTATCTAATCTCAGTTATATAACACCACCCAATACAATCTGTATCGAAAAACTGTGTTCATTTATGGAATTATTGAATAAATTATACGAATACGAATGTGAGTGATCGATACACGACAATTATTCAAATGACAAGATGATTTCCAGCAAAAAAAGTAAAAACTACATACTAATTATAGCAAAAGAAACAACAATCACTCAAGTAGTACAAAATGTTTTTTTTTTTTTTTTTTGTTTTTGCTAAATTGAAATTTATTAGATCTAAAATAATAAGATATGCAGAAAAGTAGTATTCTGGAATGTAATTTTGTATTTCATATTCACTTATTCAAACTTCTAATGGACAAATCAGTGGATCGATATTGCCCATTCTCCTGACACCTGACCTAGCACTGATACAAATATTAGGATTCGCAAAGTTTGAACCAAATCGGACTATCCTTTCTCATTCTGTGCAGTAAATTTTTAAAAATGTTGACATTTTTTGTGGGAGGTACCAGAAGGAGTTAACCGATATTTCCCGTCTCCAAATTCGATCTAAGTTTGATAATATTAATGTTACGATGTACCAAGTTTGGATCAAATTGGATACACCTTTGAGAGTTATCGTGCGCACCAGCCAGCCAGCCACACAAACGGACGGAATCGCTAGATCGACTCCAAATGTCCTGAAACGGATTTGGTCCGAAGAGACCTAGGATAAAATGATATATACCCTCTCTAGTCATATGACTGAGGGTATAAAAATATAATTCACTACTTCAAAAAAAAAAAAAAAAAAAAAAAAAAAAAAACATTCCACATGATTCGTATTTAATATAAATATAAAAGTTAAACATTAAAAACTGTAAATGAGATCAAACTTAACAAGAAAAAAAAAAAACATTAAGTGCGAACGGGCGGAACTTTAAATACCCTCCACCATTGGCTACAAAAAACATTTTTATATAAAAGCATCTGGATTCAAACGTGTTTCACCTTGAACTACAAATCCCTATGATATCGGTTGGAGAATGCCCTAAAATGTTCTGAGAAGAATAAAGTGAGTGGAGCCGTTATATGGGGCCCATACCAAGACGGGAACCTATATAGACAAATTTTCACAGCAAAGATTTTTATCTGTTGGGAGCCCTAAATACCAAATTTGAAATAATTCCGTGGGTAAAAGTGACTAGGATAGTCAAAATACCGAATATCGGTGGATACCGCTATATGGAAAACGTGGACCAATATGGACAATGTTTTGACACTGGTTGTAGAACCCATTTTGAACTAATCCATTAGAAAATGTGATTAAAATCGTCAATATGCCAAAAATCCGCAATAGGAAAACGTGGACCTAAATATTCAATGTTCTGGAACTAGAACCCATTACGAACTACAAACACCGTTTTTTAATCAAATCCGTGGAAATTGTTGAAAAATTATTAAAATACCGAATATTGGGAGGAGGCTATATCAAAACCTTGACCTATACAACCAGTGTTCAGCCACCAGAGGTAGAACCCATTACAAACTCTCAATATCAAATTTGGAGCAATTCCATGCAAAAATGTAGCAGAAATAATCAAAATACGAATATCGGGAGGTACCGCTATACATGGAGGCTTTACCAAAACGTGGAGAGTTATATTCATATAACCATCCTAGACACAATACAGACTATTCTGCCAAATTTCAAAGCTCTACGTCAAATAAAGGGAGCTTTGTTGTGATTCTAACAGAAAAACAGACAAAGTAGTTGACGGATATTAAATCGACTTAGAATTTTATGCTGATTATGAATATATATGTTATGGGGTCTACAAACGGAATGACAAATTTAATATACCCTCCTTTCCAAGCTTTGATTTAAAAATTGGTCCCCAGAATGGGGTTTCATTTCTAAGACGCATTACAATTAGGCAAGTAAGAATATATCCTTAAAACATAAAAAACATCAAAAAAGCTCACAAAATATTAAAATGCTTCTCCCTGTCAAAATTTGAAATAAATTATTTCCCCGGACCGTAAGTATAACCTGGGACCGTAGATGTCACCTATATACTTGTTTGTTAGTCTTTCGTTCATTGGTGTTGCTGCTTATCTCTGTACTATTATTAATTGCAAGTCTAAATCCATGATGTATATTCGAGTCCACATTCCTGTATTGGAACTTTTTGATCTCAAATATTTCAAATTAACAATGAAAAATTTATAATTGTATTCTGAATTCATGCTTCTGCAAAGCGATTTGGATAATTACCAAAGCAAATACAATTTCAAAAAGAATTTAATGTGGTTTCGATATTTTTAAACGCTCCGCGGCACTTGAATAACCTTTGGCGACAACAAGGCAACCAAAACAAAATGCTGTCTTTAATTATTTCTATTCTATGCGATTTAAGCCAGAACAATAGCAACAATTTACATTAACACCCAAGAATTTAAATTGGATGCATTTAAATGGCAATTTGAAACCAATAGATTCTTGTTTATAATTATCTCGAAAGCACATGTGTCCAAGGCAATATTATTGATTTTTCTTTTCTACAATTTCAGATCACTTATAAATCATGGGAACCATTGCCAAGTTATCCATTGTCAAGGGACATCAACAGGAATTGATTCCACGCCACTTGCACAGAATCTTTGAGGAGGGTGTTGCCCATCGCTCACACAAAACCGCCTTGATTCACTACAAAGATGCCAACTCGGCGGCTGATTTCCAACACCAACTGCCGCGACAGACTTCCTACCTGGAAATGAATCGTAGAGCCAACCAATGTGCCCGGCTTCTAGTGAGGGAAGCCACACAACGTTTCCTTCAACCCAATTCGGATGGAGATTTTATAATTGCGGTTTGTATGCAGACATCGGATGATTTGGTGACAACTCTACTGGCTATATGGAAAGCAGGGGCCTCGTATCTGCCCATTGATCCCACTTTCCCAGCCAATCGCATACAGCACATTCTACAAGAGTCCAAACCCATAATGGTCATCCACGATGATAGTGTGGATAAGAGCCGTTTCGATTCATCGATTGTCACAACATTAACCATATCTGAGTTGAGCTTGAACTCGTCACAAATGCAGGGCACCAATCTCATGGCATCGGAAATGTTGAGCAGCGGTGTCAGTAACTTGGCCATTGTTCTGTACACATCCGGCAGTACAGGTATACCGAAAGGTGTGCGCCTCCCCCATGAGGTCATATTAAATCGTCTGCAATGGCAATGGACCACATTCCCTTATGCCTTGAACGAAACGGTTGGGGTATTTAAAACAGCTCTGACATTTGTCGACTCAGTGGCAGAACTGTGGGGTCCTCTACTGTGTGGTAAGTAGTCGCACCTTATACAAAGTATCCCTCTAGCCCTTAATAGGGAATTGCAGCAAACAACATTTATCTAAATTGATCAATTCCAAAGTTCCGTAAGTTTTGGGGTGGTTACTGAAGAAAGTCCTTAAAATTAAAACTCGAAATTTAAAATTAAAATTCATTATAAAATTTAAATTAGATGCCAGTACCTGCAAGAATCTAATTTTGTAATTTTCTTCGATATCATAAAGGGAAAATCGGTTATCATAGTAAACACTTTTACGTTCTCGCAGTTCTGGAACAGACCAAGAATTGCATTTGAAATTCGTAAAAATTTACTTGAAATTAAAAAAAGAAATAATTTAAATAAATTAGAAATTCGAATTATTTCATTTGTAATTTGAATTGAATATGGAATTACAAATAAAATCCTCGAATAACTATTAAATAATACAAATAGAATTTTCAAACTGCTATTGAATAATACGAACTTCAAGTGGAAGTCTCGAATCACAAATTAATAGAAATTGAATTACAAATGAAAAAGGTTACAGAACATCGCTACAGACTTGAAGTGAATTCAATATTGAAAATTTAGTAATTTACCTCACTTTTTGATGAAATTATTCTATTTTGTATCATACTCCCTTCTAAACGAGTAAAAGACTAACAAAACTCCAACCTCCCCCGCTTTAGGTCTTGCAATCTTGGTTGTACCAAAGGCCATTACCAAAGATCCCGAACGTCTGGTACAAATGTTGGAAAAATACAAGATACGCCGTCTAGTTTTGGTGCCTACTTTGCTGCGTTCTCTGCTGATGTATTTGAATTTGGACGGTGGTCGAATTACTGCCGGCAATTCTGAGGGCAAACTTTTACACAACCTGCACATTTGGGTGTGCTCCGGCGAGCCTCTGCCAGTAGCTTTAGCCAGTAACTTTTTTGATTACTTCCAAGAAGGTGTTCATGCTCTCTACAATTTCTATGGATCCACAGAGGTAATGGGTGATGTCACCTATTTCGCCTGTGAAACCAAGAAACAATTACAGCACCTGGACCGTGTGCCCATTGGTATTCCAGTTAACAACACTGTTGTTTATCTACTGGACTCGGACTATAGGCCTGTAAAGCATGGCGAAATTGGTGAAATTTATGTATCTGGTTTAAATCTGGCCGATGGTTATGTGAATGGTCGGGACAAGGAGAAATTCTTGGAGAATCCCCTGGCCGTGGAATTGAGTAAGTAACACTAGGCTATTATCCGAACCCGAGCCTTTTCATTGTTTTCCTTTCCCCCTTTTTGTAGAATATTCACGTATTTATCGCACGGGCGATTACGGCTCCCTTGCCGATGGCTACATTTTCTATGAAGGCCGCACCGATTCGCAAATCAAAATCCGTGGTCATCGTGTTGACCTCTCCGAAGTGGAGAAAAATGTTGCCGAACTTCCCATGGTAGAAAAGGCCATTGTACTTTGCTACCATGCCGGCCAACTGGATCAGGCCCTGTTGGCCTTTGTCAAGCTTCGTGACGAATGTTCCCTGTACAATGAACTGCAATTGGAGAGTAAACTATCGGATAAATTGGCCGACTATATGATACCGCAAGTTGTGCTGATCGAGCAAGTTCCACTTTTGGTCAATGGCAAAATCGATCGCCAGGCCCTCTTGAAGATGTACGAAACGGCCAACAACAACGAGGGTGACTCCAGCATTGTGCTAGATTTTGATTACTCCCAAGTTCCGGATGAGTTGCGTCCTGTGGCTGAAGACCTCTTTGAGACCGTGGGCGGTGTTATCGGCCGTTCGACCAGGACCACCTTAACCCCACAAAGTAATTTCTATGAATTAGGTGGCAACTCATTGAACTCTATTTACACTGTGACCTTGCTGCGGGAAAAGGGTTACAGCATTAGCATTTCGGAATTTATTGCCGCCAAGAATTTGGGTGAAATCTTGCACAGCATGACCAAGGATCGTGAAATCAACATGGTAGAAGACACTGAGATCTGGTTGAGTGCCTGCCCCCATTTGGACATGGAAGCTGTTCCCCTACAATATTCCCACAAGCAGGATGTTATCCAGTAAGTAATTGAAGTTACCCTTTTAAAATTACTTCTTTACTGACGCTAGCCCTATTTTCTAGAATAATTGTGGATAGTTTCTATGGCAAGGCTGATTTGGAACAATGGTTGAAACCGGATATTTTGCGCACGGACTACAGTGATTTGATTTCGGTAAGTATTGCTAAATAAAACTGCCTTCTTGACCATAATTATGACATTCCGATACGTATTCCTACAGGACATTTGGGATGATTTGGTGGAAAAGGATTTGAGTTTTGTTGTCGTCGATAGAAACACAAATCGTATCATTGGCACAGCTCTGAATTTCGATGCCCGCAATGAACCTGAAGTTGAAGTTAAATCCAAACTGATTATCGTCTTTGAATTCCTTGAGTTTATTGAAGGACCCATAAGGTAAGTCCGTGCGAAACCATATTTAAGACGGCACTAACCTTGTCCATAATACAGAGACAACTACTTGCCAAAGGGCTTGAACAAGATCCTGCATTCCTTTATGATGGGCACCCATGTTGATCTCAACGCCCAAGAGAATATCGCCTGCATGCATTTCATGGAACACGAAGTATTAAAATTGGCCAAGAAGAAACAATTCGCCGGCATTTTGACCACCAATACCAGTCCCCTCACCCAGGTTAGTAGGATGTGGACAACAACAAGTCCCAGCTGAACTTAATTTCTAATATCTTTATTTGCAGCAACTGGGCAACGATGTCTACAATTACAAGACCCTTTTGGACTACCAGGTTAACGAATACGTCTTCACAGATGGTTCTCATCCTTTCGCCAAAGCCCCAGACTCACAGCGAGCCATTGTCCATTGGAAAGAGGTCACACCCTAAGACGGGGAAAATAGATGCCGCCGCCTCCTTTATGTTTAATGTCCAGTATTTAATGACTTAGTGCTTAAGGATAATTTAAGGAATCAATCCTTTTGAAAATGCTCTCTAGTAAATTAAACAAAATGCTCAAATATCTATTCCACCACATAGCTATGTACCTGCTCTGAACGAACATGTTTGAATGTTTGTCCGATCGTTTTGCTCCACTTCATTTCATGTCATTATTGCTCATTTTCACTTTTCATTGGAATACAAATCGATGTTGATTAGTTTTAAGATTTTCTCTCACAATCTCCATACATTTTAAGATACAAATAAATTTAGATTAATTCAAAATTGTGTTTTTAATTTAAAATGGTTGGAAACGTTTGACGGTGATTGAGTTTGGAATTAAAGTTGTAGTGTTGGCGTTTATTATTTGAGATAAGTCGGTTCGCTGTTTTATGAGAAATTAATTTTTTGGAGAGTCTATGCCCGATCCCCTTTGGGGAGCATATATAGATTACCGTCCAATGCGTCCTCAGGTTGCGGAAAGCCCAGTAGATATACTAGGTAGCTACGAATTGAAAAAGCAATCGTTGACAGTCACAGGTCATGAGAGAGTGTCTCGGCTTAAAATACGAGTGCCAATGATCCTTAAACAGGCGAAGCGATATTTCGGCCACCCAAAAGTAGCGAAATCTCTGTGCTGGTCCCCACATAAAGAGGTACCCCTAACGCTGGGGAGTCATGCGACCACGTTCCCAACAGTGTTACAGGTTTGCAGCCAGGGTATCGACTGTATTTTAACGGAGCTTTGTAAATACCAGGACGCTTCAACAAATAATACATTTAGTTACCGAGACTACCATGGTACGGAATCTATACCATGGTCGACCTCAGCCTCTTCACAAGACAATAACGGATGTATGGTGGCCAAACCCCGACTATCGGGAGGTACCGTTATATGGGGACTATACAAAGACGTGGACCTGCAAAGACAATTTTCTGACATAGGCTGAAATATGATTTACGAACTTCAATTACCAAATTTGAAACATTTCCGGTGAATAATGGCGCTAAAATCAAAAAAAAATACCGAATGTCGGGAGGTGTCGTTACATGGGAGCTATACGAAGACGTGGACCTGCACAGACAATTTTCTGACATAGGCTGAAATATGCATTAACAACTTCAAATACCAAATTTGAATCATTTCCGGTAAATAATGTCGCTTAAATCACCGAAATACCGAAAATAGGGAAGTACCTTTATATGGGGGCTATACCAAAACGTCGACCTCTATGGCCCATTTTCAAAACCTAAATTCTTGCAGACATAATATACATTTTAGTACACTCTTATCAACCTACTTAATTTCGTTCGGAAGATAGAGTGATTTCCACAGACGGACATAGCGGCCCCAATACAAATTTGTCGGCAAATAAGCCCACACTCTAAAGACAGTCTCCATCGACAAAATGGAAGTCCCGACACCAAGAGGGCCAAATCCATGAAGAAGAAATATGAAAAGGCATTTCGGCCAACAGTAAAATACTGTGGTCGATAATCAGGATGAAGCTAAAGTTGTTAGAAAGTTCGAGAGGACGTGCCCTAACGCAACATTAAGGGAAATCCAGGCAAGCGGGATGCCACCCACATACAGAACAGTGGCGGAACCAGTCGAGACCTCAAAAAAACGTGGAAACCCACGAAGGAAATTGTAACAAAGAAGTCTTCGAATTAGGCCTCTAATGTGCCAGAGCCGGTGGTATCAAAGCAAGTGAAGGCGAGGCTGAGGTTAAATCTACCGAACCGCAGACCACTAAAAAGGTTGAAAGAAAATCGAAGCCTGCTAAACCCTCGAAATAGACTCTCCCGAGCCCATCAGTTGATTCATCAAAGCAACTCGCTACAACGGAGAAGGTGGTGAAGCAACAGGGCGTGTTTCAGATGGAGATTCTGGCAACCAAAAGCAGCCAAAATGGTAAAAGAACTCTACAATATCATAACAAGTGCCATGAAATCGAGAGCCACTCTTGACTGCAAGAAAGCGTTTACTGAAATACGTGATTACATAAAGCTTTGTTGGATTCCAAAACATAGCAACATAGTGGGGAATGAGGTGACTGATGAATTAACCCGAAGAGGTTCCCAGTCGATTGATCTTCTGATTGATGAGAGAGTTTAACCAACAACAAACTATTTTGTCGGCTGCTTCAAAAACTCGCTCATCGAAAAAGTTGGAAGAAAATGGACCTTAGAGGCTAGTTACAGGGATTCTCGAATCAGTGATTTTTTTATTGAGAACAACAATTGATTCCGTTTGCAAGTTGCAAGATGATTGGATCAGTTATCTATATAAATCACATATTTGTTATATAAGCCAAATAATTATTGTTTTTCTTTATTATATATTATTATTATTATTATTATTTTATAAACTCTAGTTACATTTTTATCATATATTTTGTTTTTTCTTATCAATATATCTTTTTTACTTAAATATTCTACTTTCTTTTCTTTTTGAAATAAATAAAAAATAATGGAAAGCTCTGATTTGCCAAATTCAAAAAAGGTTCTTCATGTCCTACGAATATTTGAATGCTTGCACTCTCAAATACAGAGGCTCCATAACGGAAAAGAAAGAAACAGATGAAAGCGAAAGGTAATGACAAATTGTGAAAACTAATGAGAAACTATTGCCAGAACAGAAATTGCGAATAATGGTTATATTAAAGAGTTTTGTTTAGCATATATTATGATCATCATTATTATTATATATTTTATATATAGGGAGTTTCTTTTTTATTTATTTATTTATTTATTTATTTATTAATAATAAATCTAAGCATTTAATATTAATAAACTACCGGGTCTGATTTAAATGTTTGTACAACTAATTTAATAATGAACGTTTTACATATATGTATGTTCTTTTGTTTTAGTTCTATTTGTTTAATATATATGTGTGTATGTATAGATAGGTTTAATGTAAGTGTATTTATTTGAATGAAAGTGTATGAAGGATGGGAAAGAAGTGGTGTTGTGTCGCTAGTCCTTTTGCAGGAACTAGCTTGTGTTCTGTGTGAAAACCAAAACAACTCTATCAAGTGTTCAAGGGTGGGAGTTGGGGAACATAAGATCAAAAAATGCAACAAACTTGGATCCTAGTACGTACTTACCAAAAAATGGGAAATTATCGGCGAAATCTTATTGTTATTATTGTTTGTATGTTTGTATTGTATGTGTATATAAATTCTATTCAGCTAATTCGGGTATCTTAGAGACAGCAACATTTAGGAGTTTCATTTGAATTCCAGCATGTGGTTCATGATGATGATAATTATTTATGATTATGATGATGATGAGAGAAACGTATTTAATGTTTCAAACGTTACTTTAAAGCGTTTCACTAAGCTTTCCCTATACGGTGTGTGGATTGAATGTTGTTGTATTACATTTTTTTTTTTCTTATTTACTTTAAGCTATTGCGATTCTTTCCCTTTTTGTATTTTTTTGTTTTGTTTTCTTTCTATTTTTTCGAACGTTTTGATGTTGTGGGGCCCGTCGTTGTTCCTGCGGGCCTTATTCATTATATCACCACAGAGTTTTGTGTTTGCATAACATTACCACCGCCGCCATCGCTTGAACTCTGATTCGTCTGATCGAGACGTCTGTAATTCTGGAATGTTTTCCACTCGCCCGTATTGTAATCTAAGCGTATATGAGACTCCACCAAACAAAGGGCCGTCTGGCCATCTTCTTGCTGGACTTTCTCCTATAAAATGAGCAATAGAAATTATTAAATTGTTTTTTTTTTCAAGTTGCTTTTGCTCACCTCTGTTTCTCCCAATTTAATAACAATCACATTTTCTGAATTCGGTTTTGGATTTTCACGCAGGCCAGCCATGAAGCCAAGAATCAAAGCCTTATCAGGGCGTGAAACACGGTTCGCTTTACGAAACATTTCATGGGCCTTGTGAACATGTTCATTCTGAAACGGATGAGTGAAAAGTTCCAATAATTAGCACATAATGCAAAAATATCTGATTCTGTATAAAAATATTTCTTACCGACAGTGATAACCCTTTACGCTGTGGCGCTGCTTGCTGTTGCTGCTGCTGTTGTTGTTGCTGCTGTGGCATTTGGATAATATGGGTGCGTTGTATGCCACCCGTGTTTGTTTGTTGCAATTGAATTTGCTGTGTACCACCCGTTGTGGCCCCCGTCATTCCTCCCGTAGTAGTGGTGGTTATTAACCGTTGTTGGGTGGTTGCGGGTTTCTGTTGTAACACAATTTGCTGGGGACGCAGTTGAGTTGTCTGTTGGTGTTGTTGCAGGGCCGGTTGCGTTATGATGGTACGTTGGATCTGAGTTGTCGGCTGCTGTGATGCCTGGACCGGGGTAGTTTGTACCTGGACCAGTTGAGGTTGTTGGCCTGGTCTCTGAATGAGCGTCAAACCAGCGGGCAGGGTCGTTGTAAGACCACCACTTTGAACATTTGTCATTACCGGTCTGATGATGGTTTGTTGCGAAGGTTGCTAAAAGAAAAACAAATAAATGTATTATTTTAATATGCGATCTTGTTGCAGCTTTTATTTCAAGACTCACATTTGTTTGTATTAGACTTGTTGTTGCCTGGGGTTGCTGCTGCACGATCATATGCTGTTGGGTTGGTATTAATGTCGTCAACTTTTGTGTGGTCTGTGTGCTTTGCTGCGATTGTGGCTGCTGCTGTTGCAGTGTTATTGTTTGAGGTTGTTGCTGTTGCAGAGTTGTGGTTGCCGATGTCGTCTTCACAAGACCAGGCGGACCAGCCGCTGTTGTCATAAGCGTAGTGGCACCAGAGCCGAGCGTTTGCAAACCACTTACATTACTAATGGGAATCTGCTGATACATATCGCCGCCAATGTTCCGAAGTATAACACCCTTTTGGGTGAGAATAATGGTCTTATTCTTAACATTGGCATTACCTGCCACAGAAGCCTGACCACCGACAGTTGTTGCATTCCCGCCAGGTTGCATGAGAACTTGTGTTAATTTTGGTTGCTGTGTGGCGGTGTTATTGGAGACCAGCGTATGTTGTTGCTGTTGCAGCTGTGCCTGCATGTGTTGTTGTTGGGCAGCGTGTGATGCGGGTTGTATGGTCACAGGACGATTCGGCAATTGGACATTTTGTATATTCAAAAGCGTTGGCTGCGTAGACGTTGCCGTAGATGGCGACGACGAGGAAGCTATTAGGGGAGGAGGATTACCCGCACCACCGGTTACAATCTGCTGGGTAGCGGTTGGTTGTGTTTGTTGGCGAATAACTACAGACGATGTGGGCGACGTCTTCAGAAGAATCTTGGCGGATGTGGGCGTTTGTGGTGTGGATGGTGTGGTTTGGTATGATGTCTGCTGTTGACGCTGAGGTGTTGTAAATGTTGTTAAAGTGGGTAGGGTCTGTTGTTGTTGCTGCGACTGCTGCTGTGGTTGCTGTTGTGTTAGAATATACTGTGTTGTGGTTGTCGATTGTTGCTGCTGCTGTTGTTGTTGGATTAGTTGAGTTTGTTGTGTCTGTTGTTGCTGCTGATTACTCTGCTGCTGCTGTTGTTGCTGAGCCCTCTTCGCGGGTTGAATAATGGTTTGTGATATTATAACGGGACCACTGTTAGTGGCATTCTTCAACTGACTCAGCTGCATCGATTTAATCGCCTGAGCTGTCTGTGGTGTGGCATTTTGGGTGGTTGCCGTGGCAGAAGCCAATTGTTTCTGGCGCATTGCTGCCGTTTGAGATGGTGTTGAGGCCAATATTACCGGTGTAGAGCTGTTAATCAGAATTGGCTGCTGCTGTGATTGCGGTTGGCTGGATTGTGTCACCTTGCCGGTCTTGGTTGATGTTATCTTTACCGAAATATTGTTTGGCAGATTGGCCAAGGGATTATTGTGACTTGCTGCAGTGGACGCTGCATTTCCAATTGGCCGTACCGGCTGTTGTTGTGTTATAATCGTACCCGTCTGAGCCGTGTTGCGTACCAAAGGCTTTATTTCCAATTTTTCCATTTTGATTGGCGTTGTGGGGGTATTTTGCTGTCGGACAGTCAACGTCTGTTTCTGCTGCTGCGGAGACGTGCGAATAATGACATGTTGTGTTGGCTGTTGTTGCTGAGTCGTAGCTGATGTCTGCTGAACCTGCTGCAGCGTGGGCAATGATGTTTGTTGCTGGATAATAACCCTTTGTTGGGTATGTTGTTGTTGCTGTGAACGTTGGACACCCAATGTGTTTGATGTGGTTTGCTGTGTTAGCGGTGGTGGATCTATCTTTTCAACCTTGATATTGGCCGGCACAATAATCTCCTCACTTTCAATTTTTATTTCCTGTTTTATACGTTTGTGAGCATGATTCAAGTTATTGTTCTTATTGCTACTGGCATGCTGGCTATTGGCTTGATGTTGTTGTTGGTGTGGCTGAGGGGATTGTTGCGGATGCTGCTGTTGTTGCTGCTGCTGCTGCTGGTGCTGCATTCCCGATTTATCCGAATATGACGGCTGTTGAATTATATAATCCATAAGCTTATGTGTACTCGGCTTGGAGTCTTCAATCTTTATGGCCGCATTAGCACTATCCAAAATACCCGACGAGGCATTTTGGTTATAACTTAAGGACGGCGGAGCATATTCTGGCGTGGGTGTGTTTGTAGGCTCCGTCTTTGTTACAATGTTCTGACCAATATCCGGTTTTATATCCTCTTTAGAGTCTGATGTGTGACCACCTTCATCGGCACTGCTGCTTTGACTCTGATTGAGAAGATTTGTTTCTGTTTTAATTTCAAAACTGTTATTTGCCGATGTGGGTGTTGTTGGTGTGTTGGGTTCCTTGTTTCCGGCTGGACCACTAAGATTCGCGGTGTTATTGTTTGAGGGTGATGTGCTACTATCTGTTGCAGATAGAGCAGCAGCTGCTGCGGCAGCCGCCTTTTGCTCCTGTTTGCGTTGCTGCTCCTCTAACTGTTGTTCACGTTTACGTTTCTTAGCCGCTGCATAGCCCAGCGGTTGTTCGGACAATTCAATTAATTTAATGCCACCATCTTTGCGACCAGCTGGCGTTCGACTCATGTTGGGACGCTGTGCATTGGTTGCATTAATACTGGGACTACGAAAGCCCGATGTCGGTACCCGTGACGGTATACCCTTCAGGGGTGTTGTGTCTGTCATTTTACGCGGCATACCGCGTGACCTCAGCGGTATTGTGGGCGCTGAGGTTTTCTTCAATGATGACTGGGCATCTGCAGATTTGTGAAGAAGCTCAGTTCTTAAAGCGGCACTTTTTGGTTTGCGTTTGATTGTGAAATGCTTGACAGGATTGGGTTGCTGACCAACCTAAAATGAAAGACCAATTAGAATTGTTTACCAACCAAAGGGAACAAGTTTGTGAAAATGACGGCCAAAGAGATGCAATGTGTCAAAATGTCATCTTCTGCTCTTCATTTTCAAAACTATATCCCTTCTAATGAATTCGATCATAAGGAGGATATATCCAACTTACCACTGATACTAATGCATTCTTATTCAGATATTGACATTCCAGCGGCAACATACCCAAGTCACTGTGTTTGGCAACTAATTTGCGCAAATCATTGACCATGTCTGTGAAAATGGGGCGTGTGTCTTCGTAGTCCGAGATCTCGGTATTGAGCGAGCTGGTCGCTGGAAATGTCTTCATACTTTCGGCCAGCATAGACACCCATAGTTCCGAGTCGAGACCAGCAACTTCTATGACTTCTTCTAACTCGGTTTTCCACTACGTCGTCGGACATCGCGACAGCAAGTGCAGCACAAAAGATACGACATCGACGTGACGTTTGCAATGAAAATAAACAAAACAAAAACAATGCTTTTTAGTAATATAGAAACACACACACGCACGCACACACATGTCGATAGACAGAGTTTTGTATTTTTCATAAAACATCAGCACTTTTAAATGTTCGTCCAACAAAAATAAACAACACAACGTCAACTGGGTTTTCGATGGAGATCTGCAGAAGGCGGGAAAATACATCGCTGCTGAAGAGATAGATCCCCAGTTGACTTTTCTCCCACACTAACACTATCGCACCTACACGGGGGCACTGATTTCATTTCTTTCGTTTGTAAATATGCCGCTGTTTTTTGCCACTGCACTGAGGTTCGTTCGCGGTGTTATTGTTTCAAACCTTTGCAAATATTTTCACTTCTTTTTACATCACATTTTCGTGCTTTTCGGGGCAGTTTTCTTTTCATTTTTCCATCATCATCACAATGCTTTATGTTCACCAACACATCATTTGTTTTCTTATTGTTGTTTTTTGTTCGTTGTTGGATTGCTCTGTTGGTTGGCTGCGCGCGTGTGTGTGTGCTGATGTGTTTGCGTGTGTTGGTTGTATGACTTAACGAAACTTGATTTTTTTCAGTATTTCACCAGCAAAGAAAAAATTTTGTGTTACCTCTTCCACAAGTCGACGCGGAATATGGAAAAAACTTAGCAATAACTTAAGTTTCACTTGTGTCTGGAGATCGGGAAAGCACTCCTTGATATTGCGCAACACTTCCTTGTTCAATTGTGAACATATTGAGCCACTAATCCAAGAATCATTTGAAGTTCCGAGTTTATTATGCAGCCACAGTGATGTGTTGTCTCGCACACTCGCCATCTTAACTTAAAATGTAAACTGTCAAATATTTTTTTCTTTCGTCGTTTCGTAGCTGCTTCTTCTCTGGTGCCTTCGTTGAGTTTCGTCGAAATACCTCTATCTCGCTCTTTTTATATATGTTTGTGTTACTCTAATGGTTGAATCCCTTTTCAGGTCTTCTTTCTATCATTTTTCTCTTTCTTAATCATCGTCTCTTTGTTTTTCTCCCGTCATTCATACTAGTCGTGGTATATTGAGTAGGTAAGTCTTTCAAAAAAAACTGAATTTGAATAATAAGAGTCAAAAAATTCCTGATAGAAGGAGAAATGTACATTTGCCTTATAATAAATTACATGTTTATGAGGATCGCCAAATATTTGACATATCATTAAATTAAAACTTGATATGTTTTGATATTTGTAAATATTGTCCAAGGAGTGTTACCTGCCTTTCACTATAATTTTGAAAAAAAAGCAAAAAACATTTGATTACACAAGGTTACCTTCTTAATTCTAAGATGTAAACAATATTAGGAAAATTTATGCCAAGCCAAGTAATAATGATAATTGTAATTAAAATCATGGTACAATGATATCAAGGTAGGGCTATGATACCATATGATTTCAATTTTTTTTATTTTCTTGGCTTAATAAGTCATATTTATTTGTTTATGTATGTGTTTTCTTTTCAATAACAAAAAATTGTTCAGAAAACATTCAAATTCGGGTGTTTTCAAAATGTTTATTTCAACGTATGCATCGACAAAATCTAGAGTTTTTATAGCGAAATAATCCTTTAGAGATATATAGTTCATGATTTTGAAAGAAGTGTTGACCTTTCATTCAGTTATCGCGGTTTTCAATTATTTATTCAAAATAAATGCAACAAGTTGTTTCATTTTTTATTGTTTTGATACTAATTCTGACATTACAAGCCAAACAGGTAGACCTCTATACTTGCAATTTTTTCAAAGTTGCCCTACCTTCTACCTTGTTATTGCTCCAAATCATAGAACACATACACATAAGGTATACTACTTTTGCAAAGCGGAAAAGAACACAAATCACGAACAAAGACATAGAAGTATAAAGATGGGACAAGACAGAGTCAAAATATGACAACCCTGTGAAAATATATCTGTTGTTATGATATCGTAACAACATAGATAGCAATGTTACGCGATTTTAACCGCTTAGGCAATATGCAATTAATTGGGAAGGTCTATGGAATAGAATATCTAATTATATAAATGTGTTTTTTATATTAACATAGTCCTGTCATGAGCTGTTATTCTAGATATTATAGACATAAACCATCTGATCAGAATGCATTTTGTCTAGTCTTTACCATTTTAGGTCTTTGTCACGAAAGAAATGTTGTTGTTAAACCACAAAATATTAATATTTATTAATTATTATATTGTCAATTAATCGAATAATAACATTCACCGTTAAGTCTTAAAAAAGGCAGAATTAATTTGTGATCTTAAATTGTAAAATCACTGATTTCATCGCACCAATTTAGGCTACATCAAAAGATTTTTTTTTTTTTTGAAATAAGCTAGATTGGCACTCTTTGATATTTATAATAGTTGCTCTGTTCCAGAACCTGCAACAATCTACTATTTTTGCAATTTTTTCGATATCATAAAGGGATAACCGGTTATCGAAGTAGAAAGTTTTACATTCTTGCAGTTCTGGAACAGACCAAGTGTTATATACGGAAGTATAAAGATATAACGCCTTAGATTTGAAAAATGTTTATCATAACGAAACAATAGAGGTAAATCCGCTTGTAGTGGAATTCTGTAACACATTTTCTGAGTTACCGAAAAAAAAATCGGTAAAATTTAAATGCTTCTAATTTCGGTAATTAACAAAGTTTTTCGTCAAGCTAGCGACAAAATGAAAGTCGTCGCTAAGACCTACCGATAGATACCAATGTTGTCATCAATGAGTGGTTTATGTGGACCATTAAAATAAAAACATATTTTCTTTTCGTCATACTTTGAACTTTCGAAAGAACATTTCAAATACTTGCCTAGTGATCGAGCCAACAGATTTGGTACATTTCAAATAGTTTGTGTAGGTCTTTATTAGCGTGACTATATAATTATCAAAATATTTGTATTTTTAATACAATCTTATTTATTTGCAATTTCATGAAAAACAGCATTTAAAGGAATGAAATATTTGTGTGTTTGTGTAGATATTTAAAATGAAAACAAGAGATTCTGTAAATTCGTAATGTATGGCGAGATTCGAGTATGTTTAATTTTGCTTCTGCAGGGAATCCTTTTTCAGGTCATATGTTAGTTGAGTTTTCATGACAGTCAACGAGGATCCAATAATTTGTTTATGGTAGATTTGACGTGTTATAAACCTGCAATAGAAAAGAAAAATGTATTAAATATAATACATTTATTTACTTATCTTTTTGTGATAACTTCTTACCCCATATTATCATAGAAATCCCGACCCTCTTCTTGCCATTCCGACATGGTGCACTCTAAACTACTGTACCCCTGTTGGACACAATTTTTTATTACTAAATTAAGCATTGGCTCGGCCACTTTTTGTATTGGGTATCCCGGTGCTACAGCAAACCGATAAATCCAGGCAGCATTATAAACACTGATGTGATTTTTTACGCTAATACATGCTATAATCTAAGGATCAAAATATATATATAGTATAACATTTGATAGTGTACTACTACTATTTGTTAACCTTTCTGCGAAATTTATTTTTAAACGACGTTTCATACGGCGCATCATCTAAAAATATTTGATAGGTACACTCGGTTGGTTTCATACGAAAAATAAACGGCTCATAGCATTCTGCCACCAGAGATTGGTTAGGCTTTGTCTGTAAAGAGGAATATTTGTTGTGGTGAAAATATGGTATTTCCACTGCTCCTAACTTACCCTCATCAATTCGACTGCTTTTGCATAAAACGAAAAGTATGTTCCCGAGAATAAAAAGAATATACATCCGGGAATCGTTAGGGCGCAAAACACTAGGGGCACACCAAAGAATATAAACAATACCGCCCAGGTAATCACAATGAACTGCAATGTTATCTGTAATGAATAACCAAGGTCACACAACACATCTCGTTAAAGTGCTCAGAATCAAGTCTATTTGTGATGTAAAGATAAAACACGCTCGGACTAGTTAATAATTGAAAACGAATGCAAATTATGAGGGTGGGCAGCAAACCTACCTCTCTAAAACAGAAGCAGTAAAATGATTTCTTGGCGAAGGACATGATGTAGTTCTGTATCAACTCCTGACACTTGAGTTCATCATCTTCCCGATAGTTCCGAATCACAATGAATGGTTGCATCTATATGGATAAATAGCGAGGAACACCGGCACCCAAAACACAACAAAACAAATATTCACCAGCAAAAACACCGAACAGGAAAACAATTGAGATGATCGAAATTCGATAACTAAGCACATGAAACCGATAATGTGATATCGACAAATCTTAAGCAGCTTGGCAATGCCATAAATCATGTTCTAAATAATCAGTTGGTGGGAATTTTAAAAAAGAAAGAAATTGCAATTTGTTTTAATAGCGATTTCACCCAGAACAGCGTACAAAAATTAACTTGTTTATATTCTGTCAATAAATGTTTTTTTCTTTTTTTTGTTTTCGAAAATGTTTGTTGTTTCTATTCTGCCGGGATGGGAACAATTTCTTATGGTATAAATTATAAAATATACAAAACATGTTTGTTATTCCAATTGTTGGACAATTTTGGTTTAAAGCATAATAGAAGAAATATTTTAAATATTTAGATGACAAATTTGTACTAACATAGTTTATTACAGTTTTCGTATTGCTTTTAGCGGCCACGACATGAAAATACCTCTAAAAAAGTCTTGCTTATGACATGTTTACGTTAGAACTTTTTGTAGGGTTAACCTACTTTGAGAGGATTTATTTGAAGTATAAGTAATGGATATGACAATTTAAATCCAAATCCAGTCGGTTAACCTATTTATATATAAACGTACTGTTACAATATATGCATAAATAGTGGTGGGAGACTCTCTTGCCCTGCCAAATAAAATCAATGGCAAATTAAAATCGAGACAGCTCTAAAAGGCTAAAGAAAACAGCAAAAATGAACTAGACTGTGCATAACTCGTGAAACAAATAGAAATGAATACCCAAGTCTGAACATAATGTTGTTCCTTTTGCTTCAAGAAGAAAACTGAGTCTAGTTCCGATAATTCACTCGAGTAGCATTTCCATAGAACTTGTCGTTCCGGAACGACTCAACTCAATTATTTTTTGGTAATTTCGCGCAAATATTTTGTGATTTTTGGTTGTAAAAGAACATTTAAAGACAAGAAAGACAAAGCAAACTAAGGAAATCGTGTGGGTTGCAAGGTAAAGATTCATTCTTCCTGATTTCACATTCGCATACCGCTTGGAAATATTTCTTCATGGGCACAGGCGAAGCAAAAAACAACAAAGACATTCAGAAATGAGGGACATCGATGTTTATTTTTCCGGATGGGTGTTGCAAAATTTTTTTGCAGCGGATTCGTGTAACTGACCTTTCCAATATTGACAGGAAAACTAATATAATTGAGGGCCAACATTTTTATTTATATTCGGGTGACTACAAAATGTGTCCTTAAAATTATTATTTTTATAGTAATAGAAAGTAGAATGCATCAGCTTCAATTTCCCACAACATGATATTGGCCGGTAAAGACTAATTAAAATTCAGAAGTGATCCTAAACAATCCCTATTATATATTGCACATCATATTATTTTAATTCGTCCTTTGCAACTACATGCAGCTAGGATTATGTTTCATGACGTTGATATCTTATTCATCACATCTGTCCTAGTAAAAATAAAAGGAAATTGCTGATTTTATAGAAATATTTTTAATTTCCCTTCTTCTCTGTTTTCAAACAGAAGCCGACAAATGATAAACACAGCCAGAAACCCAGAAGACTGTGCATCAGCCGATGCCACCAACAAGGAACAACAGAAACCAAATTTTATATGTGGTGTTATAGAGGGCTTTTATGGGCGACCCTGGACTACGGAACAAAGAAAGGACTTGTTTAGAAAGTAAGTATAAATATGCATTTACATTCGAATCGAAATAATGTTTTTCTATAGGCTTAAAAAATGGGGCATGGATTCCTATGTATATGCCCCAAAGGACGACTACAAGCATCGTGCGTACTGGCGTGAGCTATACACTGTTGAAGAAGCAGATCATCTATCGGGTATGTAAAACAATATCAAGTTCAAGTTTATTTTTGCTTCAAGTATCCATCTCTTTCTGCCCACATCTAGGTTTAATATCGGCCGCAAAAGAACATGGCATTACATTCTATTATGCTTTATCTCCCGGCTTGGACATGACGTATAGCAGTCAAAAAGAGTTGCAGACCTTAAAACGCAAATTGGATCAAGTTTCTCAATTTGGTTGTGAAGCCTTTGCACTTCTTTTCGACGACATTGAATCTGAATTGTCCAAGGGGGATAAAGAAGTCTTTCAAACGTTTGCCAATGCTCAGGTCTCGGTTACAAACGAAATCTTCACGCATTTGGGCAATCCTCGTTTTTTGTTCTGTCCTACACAATATTGCAGTTCACGTGCTGTGCCTACCGTCCATGATTCTGAGTACTTGAATACATTGGGTTCAAAACTAAATCATGACATAGACATCATGTGGACTGGCGACAAGGTGATATCGAAAATCATATCTGTTGAATCGCTTCAAGAAATTACTGAGGTTCTGCGACGTCCGCCAGTCATTTGGGATAATTTACATGCCAATGATTACGACCAGAAAAGGGTATTTTTAGGTCCCTACTCTGGTCGATCGCCGGAAATCATACCCCATTTGAGAGGTGTAATGACCAATCCGAATTGTGAGTTCCATGCCAACAACGTGGCAATACACACATTGGCCTATTGGTCGCGTTGTGTTCTCGACTCTCGAGTGAATAGTAAGTAATGGCATGGCTACCCTCAAAAATTATATTGACAATTGTCTTTTAAGGTTCCATATCAGCTGACATTAGGCTGGAGACTGAAAACGATGATGAAAATGGTTCGGATGATTTACCAGTGGATTGTTGTCTTTCGAAGAATATCTATCATCCTCGAATGGCACTGAAGTAATCAATGTTTTAATGAACTATTATACTATGTCTGCTAATGTTTCTTCGTTACAGAAATGCCATATCAGAGTGGCTGCCAGAATTCTTTCTTGAAAAAGAGGCATGGGGACCAATTACAAAACCTCAACCACAAGTGACCCGTACGTATTGGGAATTTCTTTTTCTCTGAATTAAACCATTTAAAATTTGAAATACCTTTTCCATAGTCGTAATGCCCATCATACCTATTATACCCTCCATCAATACATGTATGAGTTTAACGACAACAACCACTACATCCACCAATGCTAAAACTCCCAATGTTCCCCAAGTGAATACAACACAACTACAAGCCTTGGCCGATGTGTGTAGCACCGTAAATTCGTCTTCTGTCAATCCCATTTCCAATGCGGTAATGAATTCATTGGTTTCGCCCACAAAGGTGGTAACCAACGAAGACATAATCAACCCCATACCAACTTGTGTGGCATCAAATATCGAGTTACCCAAGAAGATACCAATCTCTATAGTGTCTGTACCAATAATGGTGTCCAAAGAGGTGAACAGTGATAGTGATGACATGCGTGATGCAGACGAGATTACACCGGCCACAAAGGCTGAAGAATTACCGGTTAAACCGGAAACTTCTGCAACTAGTGATAAGGAATTTTTACCAGAGGTCCCGGAGACTATAAAAGACGAAGCTAAATTAGAGGAAGAAGATGTCGTAATAGAAGATAAACAAGCCGATGCTGATAGTTCTGGTCTGTCAATTGATGCAATGGCAGATGACAACAACCTAAGTCCAGTCAGTGCTGGCAACGAGCCAATGGAATGTAGTAGTAGTTTAACCTCTCAAATCTCTCCAAAAGATGAGAACGGCAAACCTGGGGCGGCTAATGCCAATGAAGATGTGGTTATGGCCGAAACCAGTTCGAATAGTGATAATATGAATGTATGTCTTTGAGTTTATACTCCAATTGTCGTTACTAATTTTGTAATTGTGTTACAGAACACCATGCAGGTTGAGAGCGTCGAGTCATCTCCTATATCTGTTGCCGAGATGACCGAAATTGAAAAGTAAGTGACTATTCCAAAATATTCTGTAGCAACTAATCTAGCTGGTCTTATTTTGAAGGGTGCCTAATGAAGCTTCAAAGATAAACGCCGAAGACCTGTACTTCCTATGTGACTTGTTTTATTTGCCATTTGAACACGGATGTCGTGGTTTCAAGCTGCTCAATGAGTTCAATTGGCTAAAGGCGAATGCCCACGTGTTGTTGGACGCCAAATTAGCAAAACCCAGCCCAGTTGGTGAAGCGCAAACAAAACCTGAAGTAGCAGAGTGGTTACAGAGGTCTGAATATTTCTCAAAGCTCTGCAAGTCAGTGTATGAACTCTTGCAGAAGGTTGCTCTGTGTGATAATAAGGAGATATGCCACGATTTGTTCTCCTATGTTTGGGACATTGCTGGGGCTCTGTCTCTTTTGGATGCTTTTGTAAAGTGGCTCAGCTTGGGTCACTTCCCGGCTAATGTTTATGCATATACCCAAGGAAGTTATACATGTAAGTAAATATCGGCGTAAACAATAAAGTTTTTTAATATTTCCTTTTTTTTTGTAAAAAGGGTTCAGTAAAGGATGGAAGGAGGCCTTTATGTCCGGCGATCAAGAACCGTGGGTATTTCGCGGAGGCCTTATAGCTGATTTACAAAGGTTGATGCCTATCGATCAGGGCAATGACTTGTTTGTCTATAAACTACCTGATCTACCCACAACAGATTATTACACGATGCGTCCTTATAGTGCAATGGATGAATCTGCAGTCAATATGATCTGTACACAGGGCTTTCTGACATTGTCATTGCCCTCATCTGCCGAAGAAAAGGAATTACCTTTGCACTTAAATTCAAAGTTTGCCGATTTAATTGCGGATAGTATTATTGGTCCATTTGTCACCTTGCATCCTGAATTTTGTATCGTGGCCACTGACTCTTCTGGTAAAGTGGTAGGCTATGCGGCTGCCGCTCTGGATTTTCAAACATTTGCGCGTAATGTTCAGATTTGCTGGATACCCGAAATGAAGGAGAAATATCCCGAAAACATGGAAGAATTGGAAATGTTTGATTTGGCGACACCTGCTTCGCAAAGAACAGGTGCAACTCTGCGCACAATGATTAAGGAATTCCATGCCTATGAACCGCAATGTCCGCCGGAAGTTAGCAGCTCGTATCCAGCTGTCATGACTTCGGCTGTGCTAGAATCGTGCCTAAACCCCGATTACGGTGTAGCCAAGCGTCTCATTACTGTACTCTTGGCAACATTAAGGGCCAATGGTTGTTTCGGGGTTCACATACGATTGGCAGCTAAGGATTCGGGCCTTGAATTGCTGCAGTACTATGCAAGACTCGGATTTGCTGAAATATACCGCGATGGACCAGATTACATTTACTTTGGACGTCGTTTCTAGCACCGCCAACGTTCGTCAATATCAGAGTTTTTGTTGAGGAAATAAACATTCAGCCTAAAACGGAATCTCCTTAAGTCTAAATTGCTGTACCATTTGGTAATCTACAGATCGCACTAAAACAAACCCGCCTTCGCCAAATGTTTCGAGAGATGCGTACCAATTGAAACGTGTACACGAAATTCCTTATAGAAATTTACAAATCACGCCAGCCAGCCCGCCCGACCACAATTTTATACTTTAGCTGTTCATAAGTTTTCAGATTTTTTACAATTGATTCGTAGACAGACAACATGTACGCTGTTCGGAAAAGCGTAACTTTCAATTTTAACGCTAGTATTTATATCATTTTTAGATATCGGTGCCCCTATTTGGCACTCTTTACTATATAAATATTTATATAAGATCAACAACTACAAAACAAACAGACAATTTTGCAATGTTTCCTTCTTTTTGTCAGCCGTCAAAAATGCATTTAAATCACAATGTTTTTTATTTTTTTCAAAAAAATAAATATGATATTGAAAAATGTAACAGACCCAACTAGCTTTCTTGAGCCCGGGTTTTGGCTTTGCTTAAATCATAGAACCATACAGAGTTTACACCATCCTCTATTACCTTTAGGGGTTCTAATGTTGGCAGGGGGAAACGACAGGCTATCACTTTGGAGGAAGGAACTTCAGTCACTAGTTTAGTTTCCAGATCTTTCATCTGTTGAATAAAATAGAATAGTTATTATGGTGTGCTTTCTCAATTCCCATTATTCTCACCATTTGTTCCACGCCAAAAATCACGACATAATCATATGGCATTAAACTAAACTTCCACAAATCTCTGCGGAAGAACTTGGTTTTTGAGCTGACACCTTCGCGCATTGCAGCTAAACGTGACCACCACACCAGCCATGGATTAAGCTCTACACCATCCGACTGAATGCCATGTTTGGCAGTGGCTAAGGGTAATTGTGATTATTAGTGGCTGATAAGTATTCCTTTGTAAGGCCGGCCTAGTCTCCGGGTTATATAAACATAACCACCAATACATACCAATTACAATTCTTCCATCTCCCGAGCCAATGTCCAGCAAACGCTTGGGACCCTTGCTCGGCAAAAACTTAAGAACATTCGAAACTTGTTCTGGAGTGGCAGGAACGTATGGCAGACAAATTCTTCGGAAAGCGGGCGCAACAAACGAGGCACAGACTACTGACAATCCAATGCCCACTCCACCAGTGGCAAAAATTAGAAATTTGGCCGATTTCGACATTGATTTTGGCTGCGAAGGTTTGCTGTTCAATTCCAAGGCATCCATATTTAAAGCTGCCATATTTCTCCGGTTCTATAGAAGTTATAAATGTGGTTTTGTTGCACTTTTATTCAAAAAAAAAGGAAACCAACATTTGTTTGTTTTTGTCCATGCCATTGGAGATGTGTTTTTTTTACGGAACGAACGAGTTCAGGGGAATAATTCTGTTAAAGGAACTATCGGAACCTTAGATTCTTCTTTCAAATAAGACTACGTTTAAAAGGGGCTGTTCTTGTATGTCGAAATAAAATGAATGCGGACGAAAAACAGAAATGGTTTGTTCGAGAACCTACAAGAATTTACTATTTTTGCTTTTTTACGATATCGGAATATTTTGTATTTTTTTTCCAGGGGTAGATTTTTTACCCTCATTCCAGGAGACTATATTTTTCTTTGGAGACGGACCCGGATATTTGGCCCAAGACCGGGCATACTAAACCAATATGGACAAAAAATTTATAAAAGCTAATGAAAATACATGCCAATAAGTGGTCACATAATGGGGCTATTCAAAACGGTTCGAAAGTTGTATCAAAATTCTGATTTTTTGGACCCGAATTTTTTTATACCCTCAGTCATATGGCTATGTATAATTTGATCAAACCGTGCCTAGTCGAAATAACGGTTTTAGACCCTAGGTCTCTTTGCACCAAATTCGTTTCAGGACATTTAGAGCCGATCTAGCGCACGGCTGGTGCGCACGATAACTCTCAAATGAAGTATATAATTTGGTCCAAACTTGGAAAATTGTAATATTATTATCAAACTTATATTGAGTTCGGAGATGGGCAATATCGGCCCACTCTTCCTGGTAACTCCCCCACAAAAGGTTTTTTATTCATTATTATTATTTATTATTTTTATTTATCTCACAGAACAAGAAAGGATTATCCGATTTTGTTCTAACTTTTGAAAATCATGGTATTTGCCACTATGCTAGAGGTTAGTCGGATAATTTAGGTCGACTGCTTCTAGTACCTCCCTCACAATGGGTCAACATTTTTAATAATCTCAACGCTTATAAAATTCGAAATAAGAATCCAATTGTCTTCAAATTTTGCATATCCCAATATTTCTAACAACTCTCGTTGTATGTAGTATGTAGATGGGACTTTTTTAAATTTTAAGTATCCATGAAGCTCATAAAACTCGAAAATAACGTCAGACTTGATATATAGCAATACTTCCATCAACACAAGATCTGTTATAAAGATGGTAGAGATCGAACCATTTCTTCTGGTACCTCCCCCACATTGGGTTCAAGATTTTTAAAAACAACCCGCTCAAAGAAAGCCAAATAAGAATCCAAATCCATCCATCCATCTCCTCATTGTTGCTAATACAAGATCTGTTGTGAAGATCCCCAACCCCTTTTGGAACCTCATCCACAAAGGGTCACAATTTCCAATACATATATCTGTCATAACTTCCGCAAAAAGTCGGCATTTCTTTACAACTTGCTATATCTAAATATTTCTCTTAACCAGAAATCTGATATGCAATTTATCGGAATTTGTGATTTCTAATATTTTTATCTGTATTAGATGAAGTATAAAAATGGATCCAGAGATATGGGTCTTTGAACCCGAACAACCCGATACTGTTCAGTATATTGAAATGATATTTTCAGTATTAGAAACATTAATTCGCCTATTTGGACATACCCATAACATTGGCAATAATTGACAAAACTTCTGCGTTTATTGTCGAAAGTAGTTTACTTGTTCGACCTAAAGTTGGCCTTGGTTTATCAGAAGAATAAATTGTTTTAAACATGAAAATATTGCGAGGATCAATCGCCGAGTAAACCCAATTAAAACGAAAGCCATGTATGATTATTATCAGCGTTCGAAATTGAAATTTGTTTTTTTTTTTTTTGTTTTTATTTATTTTCTTCAATTATTACTATATAAGCTTATAACTTGTAGTCAAGTTTCAATTGTTCTTTCCTTAATTTCCATAATCTTGATTTGATTTTTAGTTTGTTTCATTTCTTTTGCATTATTTATTAATAAATAAAATATATATCTTTTATTATATATGACATTTATATAAAATATATTTACTCTGATAGCTACTCATTGTAAAATACAAATAATAATAATAATAAAAACAAAAACAAAAAATATGCATGATTTGCAAAATATAAACTACAAAAAAATAATAAAATAGCTGCATATAGACGAAGAATATCAACGAAAAATTGAAAGCGGCATTACTTGAAATTAAAAACAACAAAAAAAAAAATAGAAACACGGTAAATTGTAAAGACAAGTTGGGACTTAAACGAGGAAATGTTCTGTTTCCAATCTCCACTGTAAGGAAAATATTTTGTATTTGAAAGAATATAAAATTAAAATCTAATGCTTTAATTCACTTCAAATACATTTTTTTTTTTTTTTTTTTTTTTTTGCAAAAAAGAAAATTGATAGAAACCTAATAGTTGTATAATAATAATAATATGCATGTGTCCTTAACGTATGTAAAATATATATGTAAAGAAAAAGCTTCTCAATAATGCCATGCGTTGCTACAAAGTCAGCGGCAAATAAAATAACTGGTTTCGGACCCCATTCGAAGGATATAAAACCAGCATAGTCTGAAATAGTTTTTATAGTTGCCACATTGTTTGTATAGTTTAGAAAATAATAATAAAAGCTGCATACATTCATAAGTGATGGTTGATGACGATGTGACGTGAAAAGTTAGGGGGAGGGGTTTGTTGTTAGCTTTAAATGTTCATCTCTGGTTTGCTGCTGTGTTCGTTTGTATCGTAATGGGTGGTGGTGTGTTGCTGTTTTATTTCTTTCTCATTTCATTCATCATCATTTGTTTGTCGTTTGTCTTCTTCATTATATTCATTGCTAAAGCTGTGTTACTTGGTTTGGTTTTCCGAATGGAGGTTTTGCAAATATATTTGTTATATGTTGTTGTTATTTGTTTTGTTTTAGGTTTTTTGTTTTTTTTTTCTTTTTTTTTTTTTTGGAAAATATATATTTTCGGCTTTTGGTATCATTTTCCACAGTTTGGCTTGAAACTGATTTTTGTATTTACATACACACATACAACTGGTTCTGCAAATGGACGATTTAGAATAATTTTACTCGTCGCTTCATTTCATTTCTTCTCCATTGTGGGAATCTATAGAAGTCAGCTCTGGTACACTGCAGTATGTGCTCGAACTCCACATCCGACAAATGACGCTGCAAAGAAGGAAATAATAATTATGATTATTTCCAAATTTCTTGAGTTTTTCCAGGATACTTTATAAATATGGTAGACAATTCTAAACTACAGTATTCCCCAAAGTGGAATATAGAAGGAAACCTCATTTGCAATAAGCATATCCAGATCTCCCTTTTCTGTAATTTACTTTGTCAAATTTAACTGGCTTGAAAGTAGGTTCACATCTCTGATCTGTGTACGATAGGATGTATGCAAGACCTGTATAAGGTCGACAAGTATATGGGAGCTATATTCAAATCTGAACCGATCGACAACATTTTAGGCACTTATTTCTGAGCTGTGTATGAAATCTGATACCAAAGGTCATTATAACTGAACCGATTTTCACCAAATTTGATGTACTTGCTTCTTGACTAAATTTCGTCTTAAGTACCAAAATTCAGTCCATCTGGGCTATTATTAGCCATTTAGTGCACAATAAACATGAAATCGGATAAAGATGTATATAGGAGCTATATCCAAATCCGAACCGATCTTGACATAATTTTAGGCACTTATTTCTGAGCTGTATTTGATATCTGGTACCAAAGATTATGGTTGTTGTGTCCATATTACGCATGTGAGGGACCTAAAACCCCAAATCGGATGAAACATATATATGGGAGCTATAGCTATAACTGAACCGATTTTCAAACCAAAAATTTGATATACTTGCTTCTTGACTGAACACCGTCGGATGTTCCAAAATTCAGGACATTAAGACTGATATTGGCCGTTTGGTGCACAATTAACCCGATGTCGTTTGTAGATATATATAGGAGCCATATCTAAATTTTCACTGATTATCTACCATTTCAATAGGGTTTGTCCTTGGGCCAAATAAGAAATAATAAAAAAGACCCTACCACTATGTGGCAAAGGGTATAAAAACAGATATCTTCTCACTTACCTCCAAATTGCAGCGATCAACGTCCGAAGGCAAACGATAATTAGTGATGACCAACAAGTGATAGGGATAAATTTTAGCAGGCTCGTGCACCAACATTGAATGGGCCATATTTGGCAAACTGCGGCGTATTAAACCAGCTTGGGGATAGTGGTAGGATAAAGCACCCGAATATGTACTCGAGGCGGGTAAATCACCGCCCATCAAAGCGCGTCTATCACCCTCCGTTATGGAATCGACTGAGGCTGAAATATGAAAACAGATAAACATTTAGAGAAAGAAACATATAGCAATCATAAAAACTGCATTTACCTTCTGATTTCCCACAACTTAGATCTGTACTGTGCGTTTTATCACCTAATCCTCCATACGAATAGTCCTAATAAGGTTTCATAAGGAAAAAAAAAAAAACAATTATTATAATTTGTATGTGTTGTTTTTTTTATCAAGTGTAGGAAGCGTAATGGTACCAAAATGAGGGGGTCATGCAAGCAAGCAGATAAAATAGAAAATTAAATAAATAAAAATGTTATTTACATGCTTAAAATATATGATAAAGGTGTGGCTTAAGACACAATGCATAGCAATAAGAAAGTGTTGTGTTTTTTTCGTCAAGATACGGCCTATGTCTCCAAAACTTAAAATTTCTAAAAAGCATACGTATTACAAGCCAAATGGAGTACAACCTACAATCAATGTATTGATTTGTTTTCAATTTCTTTAATTGTTTATTCCTAATTTGGATTCGCAAAGATGGAACAAAATCGGACTATTCTTTCTCTGTCTTTAAAGTAAATTTTTTTTGAAAATCTTGACATTTTGTGTGTGAGGTACCAGAAGGAGTGGACCGATATTGTCCATCTCTGAACTCGATCTAAGTTTGACAAAATTATTACATGTACCAAGTTTGGATCAAATCGGATGCTCCCCTTCTATAGCTATCGTACGCACCAGCCAGACAGACAGACGGACGGACATCGCTATATCGACTCCAAATGTCCTGCATTGGATTTGGTCCCAAGAGACCTAGGGTTTTAAACCATTAGTTCGATGAGGCACGTTTGGGCATGTATCGAATTATATATACCCTCCCTTCCTAGCCATATGGCTGAGAGTATAATAATTAAGATTGATTTTTTTTGGGATCTGCAATGCATGTAAAAGGACTACTTTTTATCTATATTGAATTTATAAATTTTGCTGTTGTATTTATAAAAAATAATGTCTTTCTTTACTAGTAATAACCCTAATGATGAAAACTTAACAAAGGAAACAAAAATATGGAAAAAGAAAATTAGTAAATCTAATCTCAAAACACTAATCGCAATTAACGTTCATTTTGTTAAAAATAAAATTAATGTTTTAGTAGGTACAAATAAATGTAAATTGGGCTTTCTCAGGGACTAATAACTATTTATGGGGTTTATATTAATTTGTTTATGACAGATTTGTTTAACTGGATTTAATACAAATTAATGTCCATATGTCAATATATTAACTGACTTATTTCAAAACCAAGATAAAGTAGCTAGATCAATGATTTTGAGATTCTCTAATAAAAATATACTGTCGGAATTTAATTGCAGATTTATGTAATTCATTCAGTATATGCAGCATAAATCTGCGTTCAATGGGATTCAAATGGGCAAAACCAAGCAAGGTGGACATGATCAGTTAATTGATTGTGAGGAACATTCAATTTTCCCGCTATATACTATTCAATTACATGCCATCTATCTTCATATAGATTCAGTAGAACATTAGAACTAATATATTTGAATTTGACATCTGTCTAAGTTGACAAATAGGTAATGAATATCCCTTGGACTTGTAACATAGTTGCAGTTTTTACAATTTACAAATAAAAATAATTAAAAAAGCAAATTAACCAAAAAAAAGGCAAATAATGCAAATTAAAAATTAAGTGCGAATGTGGTTTGTTTGGTGTACAAAAATATTTAATAACAAGCCGCAAATGTAATGCTTAAACAACTACCGCATATAAATGTATATATGTACGTTGTTTGTATATATATGTATATGGTCTACAAAAATACTGAATGAATATAAAGCGCTTACGGTGACGCCGTGCATCATGGCGCCGGCTGATGTGGTTGAACTGAAAGTGTGGGAACGTGGAGCTAAGCCGTATCCAGGTTTGGGGACATGACGAAGAGAGCTTACCACTGAATAGTGGAATGTCAGACAGAATATCGAGAGAGGCGCGGACACATAATAGGTAAAGGCATTACACAAGAGTACAACAACGATAACACAATAAAAAACACAAAACAACGGACATGCATGTTTGAATGGTTCCGGCAGCGATGTGGAAGTGATTAGATGAGTGTGGGTTGGGTGGGTGGTAAAATGTTGATGATTGTTATGATGTTCCAAAGTGCATTTGATGATGTTGTTGTTGTCATTGGTATGTATTATTTGTAGTGACCATGATGATAATGATGTTGATGATCGTCGGGATGTAGTTGTCGTTGACAAAAATATTTCATTTAGTTTGTGTGTTGTTGTGGTTGTTGGTAATGGCAGTAGTTTTTATGTGTGTGAGTATTTTGTCAAATGGAATACATGAGAGTGTTGTAGTTTATAACGTTGATGATATTTACAAATACATGGCAATTTTTGGTTTTTATTTTTTTGTTTTCATTTTGGAGGAAAGGTAATAACAAAAATATTAGTTTTTTTTATAATTGTGCACATTCGTTACAGAAAATAGTTATTATTTTTTGTATTTGTATTCACCAAAGGCACCGCATTTTTAGTAGAGTTGTTAAACAATATAGTTTCATTAGTTCCAAGATACACATTGCACATGATGACGTTTGTTTTATTTTTTGTGGGAGAAAACAGCCGAGAATGTTCCATATTTATTTTCACGTTTAAGTGATTATCACCCGAATTATGGTTTGTTGATTTTTCCGTAAATGTGTTTATGTTTTTTGTTATTAGGCGGCATTAAAAAATAGAGGAAAAGAAGCATGATTTATGGAATATATAAAGTTAAAGTCAAACGAATACGGTGAAATAATTTACAGCAGTAGTACATGATTATATGAATGATTTTTTTTCAATAAAAACTTTAAATTTAAAAAATTTCCTTTACAATATTGTAATTCATCCCACATTATATATAAATTTAATTTTCGATATACATTGTCCTTTCTCTGTCCAGAAAAAGAAACCCAAAACAATTTAAATAAAATAAAAACAAGTAAAAAATATTAAATTCGGGCGGGTCGAACTTTTAATTCCCTCCACCATTGAAGAAAACATTTTTGTATAAAAGTATCGAAATTCAAACGTATCCAACTTTAAACAACAAATGCCAGTAATACCATTGTCCCCTGGAAAAAATGGGGGCTATACCATACCATGGATCTATACATACAATGTTTCGCCTCCGGAGCTAGAACCCATTATGACCTAAAAATTTAAATTTTTAGACAAATCCGTGAAAAAATGTAGCAAAAGTCATCAAAATACCGAATATCGGGAGGTACCGTTATATGGGGGATATATTAAAACGTGGAGGACCTATGTTTTACAAATACCAATTTTTATACAAATCTGTGGAAATATGTGGCAAAAATCATCAAAATACCGAATATCGGGAGGTACCCTTATATGGGGACCTATATATACAATGTTTCGCCACCGAAGCTAGAACCCATTTCAAACTACAAATACCAAATTTTATACAAATCTGTGGAAATATGTGGCAAAATCATCAAAACACCGACTATCGGGAGGTACTGTTATATGGGGGCTATATTAAAACGTGCACCTATTTATACCATGTTCCGCTATGGAAGCTAGAACCCATTTCAAACTACAAATACCAATTTTTATATAAATCCGTGGAAATATGCGGCAAGAATCATTAAAACGTGGACTATCGGGAGGTAATGTTATATGGGGGCCATATATAATACTTGATCTACATATACCATGTTCCGCCACAGGAGCCAGAATCCATATGACCTACAAATACCAATTTTTAGAAAAATTCGTGGAAAACTGTGGCAAAAATTATCAAAATACGGTATATCGGGAGGTACCGTTATATGGGGAATATACCACAACGTAGACCGATATATCTCATCTTCAGTACCAACCATCCTAGACACAATACAAATTGTTCTGGCAAATTTTTAAGCTCTACGTCAAATAATGTGCGCTCTATCGTGATTTCAACAGACGGAAATCGACTTTGAATTTTATGCCATTTTAATCATGAATATATGTACTTTATGGGGTCTACGATGAATATTTAGGGAATGTTTGTAACACCCTTTCCACGGCGGGGGGTATAAAGATATAACAGTTTTCCAAGCATTTCACTAATGGTTCCCAAATGAGCAGTTTTCTCAGCATACTCAGCTGTTTTTGGGATTCTCCTTAATGGCGCATCTGAAGAGCCGAATCCTACTATTTTTCCCATGGTTATTAAAAGGGCAGTACATAATTATTTTCGTTTGAGTAATGTATTTTAAATTTAAACTAATGACTATTTTTTTAAAAGCTTGATGTATAAATTTGCATCCTGTCTTTGCACTTTAATGTATATAAATTCTGTTTTTTAACAAATTTGAACTGTTCTTTTCCAGATTTCTTATTTGGTTGGGGAACCAAAATATTAATTTTCTTAAGTTATTTTTAATAGTAGTAATTTTTTAATATAATTCTTTAATTTTTAAAAATAAACCTTTTAGTTTTCAATTTAAAACGCAACTTTTCTAAAGAATAGTAATATATATTATAGCTCAATTATAAAATAAATTAATATTCATATCCGTTGTAATAATTCTTTGATTTGTGGTATTATAATTTTCCCATATAATCTTCCTCCTTAAGTGGTGCGTATTCATACGCACGACTTTGTAAAAAAATTTTATGTTTTTCCCTTTTTTTTTTGGTATTAGTGTTAAAAATATTAAATAATACCATTATTAAATCATAAATTTTTTTCACTGGAAAAAGAGGAAAGTGATGATGTAGTCCATAAATTATGTTGTAATTTTATGAGTTTCAATTTGACAGAGTGAATGTCATGGAATGATGATAATGATGATGTAATAACAAAAAAAACATTATGAAAAGAAATGACCAGACCATAAAGTTGTATGCTAGTAGAGGAGTTTGTGAGTGAGTAGTAGCAGCCAAAACACAATACCAACAACCGACAGAAGACAACCGCATTTAGGCTTAAATTAGAGTTAGATTTTGAGTAGTAACACAGCATTAACAGGTACGTTTGGAAGCAGAGTTTTGCAGTCTTGAGACCATAAGTAGTAAATTAGCTAGTGGCGATGTGTGCTTTCTTATTCGATATTGCTTGACTGTTGCATTCGTTGTCTAGTTTGGGAAAGTTAAGAGATTTATTCACACTTACTGAAGAATAGCCATTACGAATATACGGCGGCAAGGTTGAAGTTTTAAATCCATATCCAGGTTTTGGTGGTGATCGGTAGGAATGTATAGCTGTGTTGTTTACAAGTTTTCAATTCGTTTTATTTGCAAATTGGGAACGGTTTTCGAAAACAAACACCCCAACAAAAACATAAGAAAATTTGTTGCCAAAATAAAATCGAAAAGAAAATTAAGAATAAAAGTCATAAATAAAAAAATAAATACATAAACAGTTTTTAAAAGAGGAAAACAATAAACCCAAAGCTTTGTTAAAGCCTAACGACAGACTTATGGAGTATCGTTTCGCTGTAGCTTTAAAAGGTAGAATCTGTGGAGGGTGTTTTGGCTTTCAACATTTTGTTCTCTGTACAATATTTTTGAGTATTTTGTTTGTATTCGTTTAGCAGAGTAGAAGTGGTGGTAAGATTGACCATAGTTTTTATATAATTATCAATTATTATCAGCACATGCGGTGAACTTACCGTTATAGCTGGGTGCATTGCCCAATGATTTGCCCAGGGATCCACGGTAACTCGTTGAACGATCGAACATATCCTCTTCGTAGAAGGGTTTTTGATGATCCAAATTTCGTGATGGTGATGCTCCAATTGGTGATTCGTATCTGAAACAAGATTTATTTAATTACCGTTCTAATCCAGTTAATATTGGGTAGGAAAGGAAACAACTTTACAAATAAATCCGAGCTCAAATATATGGAATAGTTAAGTAGGGGCAGTTTAAAAATATTGGTATGGGCAAAATTAGAAGAAAATCGAATATTAATGTCCAATTTAATGTGAAATCATAAATTCCATATTCATCTCAGGTTTCTGTTTGAGAGAAATATTTCGACATAGCAAGTTGTAAAGAATCGATGATTGTTCCGCAAGTTATGACAGATAAAAGTATTGAAAATTGTGACCCATTGTGGGTAAGGTGTCAGAAGGGGTTCGCAGATATATATCATCTTCACAACAGATCTTGTGTAGGCAAAAAAGTTTTGGTGTGTGAAATTTAAAGAGAGTTGGATGCTTATTTTGGTTTCCTTAAACGTTTTGTTTTTCAAAATCTCGACGCCTTATTGGGGGAGGTCCGAAATGAGCTTTATGGATATTCAAAATTTTGACCCTTTGTAGGGGAGGTACCAGATGGTGTGGACCGACATATCCCATCTTTACACCAGACCTTGCTTTAATAAAAATATTGTAATGTGTGTAATTTGAAGACAATCGGATGCTTATTTCCGATTTTATGATTGATTTGGTTATTCAAAACTTTGACCCTTTGTGGGGAAGGTACCAAAAGGAATGGTCCGACCACTACCATCTTTATAATAGATCTTGTGCTAATAGAAATATTGAGATGTGCCAAGTCTGAATGGAATCGGATGTTACTTTTCCGTTTTATGAGCTTCATGGAAAGGGTAAAAATTTTGACCCTTTGTGGGGGAGGTGCCAGAAGGAGTGGGCCGATACATTTCATCTTCACACCAGACCTTGGTTTAATAAAAATATTGTGATGTGTGTAATTTGAAGACAATCAGGCTATTACATGATATTTTATAAGAGTTATAATTATTCAAAATTTTGACCATTTCTGGTCAAAGGGAATCATCACAGGTCACTGTAACATAAGGACCTTGTCTTCTAACTGAGGTGACGACACTGAAATCGATACACTGCATAATCTGTCAAGATGAGAAGAAACGGTCAAGCACTTAGTCTTCCACTGTCCAACACTAAGTGACTTAACAACACATCTTTTTTCTTCTGTTTCCCTCTTTTCTTTTATAAATATTTAAAATTAAGGATGAAAAAAAGGGACCAGCAGGTGTCCGGTTGAAGTAGTTATAACTAGACAACTACCCATCATTTAACCCAACCTATATTGGATACAACTCTTCAAAATAGGTATACTGATGTAAGGACAAGTTCCTGAGGCAGCATAGTCCACTCACCTTAATTTATTTAAAGGTTCCTTATTTGCTGATGCTGTACGTGATGCATTCCTTGGATCTAAATTCTGTTGCTTCCATTTGCGATATTTAGCTGTCTCTTTTAAATCTTTAGCAATAGCTGCCCCAATGCCAGAATTTAGTTTTTCCAATTCCTTGGCTTCGCGTTGTAAACGACTGAAATTGTAAGGGATAATTTGGTTAGATCAAATCAAAATGTGTTTCCCAATCAACATACTCTTCTTCTTGTTCTCCATTTTTATTTTCGGTATCATCTTCATCATCAGATACGGGCACACCTTTGTAGGAATCGCTGTAGCGACGTCTACGTTCAGGATCTGTGTAAGGATATGGTGGTGCTGGGAAATCATCCCGTTCGATTTTGGGTTTTTCACCTGGTGGTGGCTTCTTAGCGGCTGGGTAGTGTGACAGTTCTATGGGCTCTTCATTGTTCATGGCAGGACTCTTTGGTCGTGGTGTTTCCGAGCGTATGGCATCAACCAACACTTTCATAGCACTACGTGTACGGGAGCCAGGTCGTGATGGTGGTCTACTACCCGCCACAGAACCGGCAGTGCTGGTAGCATACGATGATGGTCTATGGAAGTGTGGCGACAACGGGGTCTTATCATAGGGATCAATGGGTTTGCGTAGATAGTTGGGAGCATCGGTCAAATAGCTGTATGTGTATATGCGAGAAATGTCCTCGCCACCATGGCGACCGTATTCTCGCAGAATCAAACCAGGACTCACTGTACGATAGTGCTGTAATTTAGAGATTGAAAATATGTTAGACGTGATTCAACATTGGAGCTGTATTGAAATCATGATTTGATTGATTTCATAAAAATATATACTCTCTACTTTTCTGTGAATTTCATTATATTTGAATTGAACGAACTCGTTAGTAAGTGAGAGTGATAGTCAAGGCATACAAAAGCAAAAGGAAACAAAAGTTGGTTTTATTTTTTCGTTTCAAATAAAAAAAAAATAAAAATCAGTTTCAAAATGATAAATCAAAAAACAAACCTTGCGGCTAGAGGAATATACGGAACCATTAAAACTCGGCGTTCGGGATCTTATGTACTGTAAACAAAACAAAAAACAAAAAGAAAATCTTGCAAGCTCAGAAAATGGTGTGAAACAAATAAAAATAAATCATGTAATTAATTATTCGAAAGAATGCACATTTGCTTATTAATAAAAATAATTCCAAAAAGATGTGAAAAAAAAGAAAAAACAATTAATGATTTTTGATGGATATGTTTGGAGTGTGTGTGTGTGTGATAAACTTTTAGGGGGTTGGGGGTGATGGTGATTTGGTTGTTATTTGTGTTTGTGTAATGAGTGATTTGTAAGTTTTGGGGCACAGCACCATGCCCTGGTCGATGTTCCTATAGCATGGTGATGAGGAGAGTAGAGAACAACATTAGTAGCAAAAGGTGATTTCTGGTATCTTTGTACAGCCAGCTGTGAGGTGATTTGTTTGGTTACTTTTGGATGCACAAAAAAGTTAAAACAAATTGTTTTCCGTTTCTATGGAAACGCTTTTTGTGTGAAAACTTTTTGGTAAACTAGTAGTCGATAGATAGGATATCGATTGAGAACATCTTTCAGAGTTACAATTTGTAACAATTGTTTGCAATACTTTTTTATTCGATTTTTTATTTATTATTCGAGTAAATGATTTGAAACTACCGATCGAATCGAATGGACGGATACATAACAAACTTATTCAAGAGAAAAGGGAACTTAAATAAGTTTTTTATTCTTTGGAAGCTATATATTATTAATTGGCCTTGGAAGCTTCGGTATTAAGAATGAAATGATTAAAGTAAGAAAGCATGGAACGAACTTTTAACGTTAAATTCATTTAAAGTTTTCACACAAAAGGAGTTCATTAATACATAAAATATTGGAACCTGCCGATACTTGTGCTAAATTGTTTCTTTCTTTTTTAAATTGTCCCACATTCGCCGAATCTTACCATGTCACTTAAAGCACTCGAACTCATACGATCGCATTCTGTGTCTGTAAAGTTTCCATTTGATACGCCACCTCCACAGCCATTCAATATCAAACCCGATTCATTTGGTCCTGGACCACAACGTGGATGCCATATGGCACCGCCTTGCAAATACATTTCTTCGCCATCGCCGAACGGGTCACCACATTTGGTACAACGGGCACATGTCGGATGGAAATGGTGATTCTCGCCGGCCTGCAATACCTTGCCGCTAATGAAACGATTACAGTAGGCACACTTAACGCCGAATAACTTTTGATAGCACTTTTCACAATACGGCACACCATCTTTGCCCATGTATTCACCATTGAGGACTCCCTTGCAGGATTTACAACGGAAACACCAAACATGCCATTGCCGATCCAAAGCCACCAGAGCTTGTCCTTCTTTTAGCATTTCACCACAGCCGGCGCAGTCATTTGGATCGTAGTCCTCCTTCAAATGCGCTTTATCTGATACAACACCACTGGTCATTTGTTGGTGGGCGGTTGCCCTGGTCGGTGACTCGACAACAGGTGGTGGAGAGGTTGTGCCATCCTTGCCGCTAACTTGGCGTGTGGGTGATGTGGCAGCACCAGTACCTCCGGAGACACATGATTCGCAGAGCACCTCTTTTCCTGTATTAGTTACCTAAAAATGGAAACGAAAGGGGGAGATTTATTAACATTCTCTATTAAGAGTCAACTGTTTAGATTGCATACAATATGAGATTGTGCGAAAGAGATATTCTCTAATGGCAACATAAATTTTTTGCCAGACTGATAAACAAAGAAAAACTTAAGAGGGTTTGCTAGCATGGTCGAACGATAGAGTTGGAAAGACTATTTTAAAGTAAGTGTGAGTAACTTGTGACGTCAATTATTGTGTTATGTGTTATTTGATAATAACACAGAAGGAAAATAGAATTTTTTATCTATGAAACCGACGAAGTGAAGTGCAATTGTCTACAAATGTTTCGAGAATGCAAAATGCCAATTCAAGGGGCTGAATATGAGTTTTAAAATAAAAATAGTTCTGCATAATTATAAAAATTATGGAATCGAGTTTACTCTTATGGCAATCGGGATAGGGATTAGTTGCATTTTTTCAAGTTAATCTAACAACTGCTAGAACAACATCAGATTTCATTTTAAAAATTATATTCTTCGGGTAGATAAGAATGGAAAAAGGATAAATTGTTTTACAAATTAAATATTTTCACGTCCATCGGCTTACTATCCAAAGTGTATTATTCAACAACTATCAATAGAAATAGATTAAGTTTTCTGATTTATTTCTATGGAGTTGCTGTTTATGCCCCACACCAAATAGTGGTAAGGGTATTATGTCTTTGTGCATTTGTTTGTAACATGGAGAAGAAAGCGAGGTAGACCCATAGTTACTTTTAAGGATCTTCTTAGAATCACTTTCTGAGTCGATTTATGCAGCCCGTCTGCAGGTTGCATTTGAGCTCCGATTGAGCTCAAATTTTCCTAACAATATTTGTTTGGCCCAAGGACGAACCCGATTGAAACTGGTGAAAATCGGAATAGATTTAGATATCTTCAACCGAATTCGGGTTTATTGTGCACCAAATGGTTAATATAAGTCCAAATGACCTGAATTTTGGTACATCTCAACGATTTCAGAAGAAGAATTTGGTTGAAATCTGTTTGGATATAGCTATAGCTCCCATATATATGTTTCATCCGATTTGGGGTTTTAAGTCCCTCACATGCGTAATATGCACTCCACAACAATGATATTTGGTACCAGGTATCAGATACAGTTCTGAAATAAGTGTATCAAATTTTTGTCAAAATCGGTTCAGATTTGGATATAGCCCCCATATATCTTCAACCGACTCCGGGTTAATTGTGCACCAAATAACCAATATCAGTCCAAAATACCTGAATTTTGGCATATCCGACCGAATTAAGTCTAGAAGCAAGTACATGAAATTCGGTGAAAATCGGTTCAAATATAGCTATAACTCCCATATATATTTCATCCGATTTGGTGTTTAAGTCCCTCACATTCGTAATGTGTATTTAACGACAAAGCTATTTGGTACCAGATATCAGATACAGCACAGAAATACCTCTGCCAAATTTTATGGAGAGCGGTTCATATGTGGATATAGCTCCCATATATATCTTCAGCAGATTTCGGGTTAATTGCATACTAAATGGCCAATATCTGTCAAAAAGTCCTGAATTTTTGGCATATCCGACCGAATTAAGTCTAGAAGCAAGTACATCCGATTTTGTGTTTTAGTCCCTCAGATTCGTAATGTGCACTCGACCACAATGATATTTGGTAACAGATATATATATATATATATATATATATATATATATATATATATATATATGTGGTGTTTATTGTGCAGATAACGGCTCAAATGGAGTGAATTTCGGGACGCTCGTTTCCATTTGGTGGAACTCGGCTCCGATATATATTTTTTAACATAATCCTTCTCGAAGTGATGTCAGGAACTATATAGCAATGTTATTCGGTATAAAAGTTTACAATGTATCCGTAAAATTTAGTGAAAATCTGCTCTAAGGCAAATGTTGATAGGTGGTATGATCTACTTTCAATAAATTCTTTTGTTACGGGAGCTCTACTAAATATGCATAATGGTGTAGGATATCATATAGTCGGCTCCGCCCGACTTGACTTTTCCTTACTGTTTTTTATGGAGTAGTTTTTTTTTTATTATTTTATGATTTGACTCAATATGAACGGAAAATGGCATTAAATAAAATATTCCTACGATTTGAAACAATTAAAAAAACCACATACATATATATGAAGAGATTTTTCTTACCTTACTGCCCGACTTGAAGGGCTGTTTGCATTTGGAACATGTGAAACACTTTTGGTGATAGGTTTTACCCATTGTTGAGACCACTTCGCCCTCGACATATTGCGAACAGGCAGCACACTTCGTTCCATACAAACGCTGATAGTCTGGTATACAATAGTAAGCACCATCTTTGGTAAAGAAACCACCGGAGGCTAGTGACTTCTTACATTGGCAGCACTGAAAGCAGGCCTTGTGGAAATGCTTATCGGCAACACGTAACACCTCGCCCGAACATTTTTTATCGCATTTGGCGCAATAAATTTTTTGCTTGCCTGTAATGATGGAGAAAAGAAAAAAACAAAGAAGAGAAAATGGTTGGTTAGTTTTGAGGAAAAGGCAATTAGCATAGATTTGAAAATCAAGGAGGTGGAGTAGGAGTAGCTCATTACGGACGATATGCTAACGATTAGCTCATCACTGATATGCAAAACGCAAATGTATATATGTATATAGTAACTAGTTGAAGTCATCGTTATTTGTTTGTCGAATGCTCAAGTATGTGTCACACACATACATACATATGCCAAGGGGAAGAGTGCGGCATGACCAAATTGGAAAAATCATAATGTCATCCTGTTTTTTTTTTTTTTAAATCTCTATAAAAAAAAACATAAATTCGCATACGCAACGAAAGCGGTCAGTCAGTTTAGCAGACAAAAATATAAACCCATCATGTTATGAAAAATTACTCCTATCAGTACCAATGAGTCTTATTAGTCCTGTGCCAACAAAATAATCTTCGAAACTACTCCAGTAGCTTCAAAGTTTGCAACATGTTGAAGGCTCTCTCCGCTCGACATTTGATCATCATTTTATCAGGATGAGTTTAGAAGTAAATTAAAATTATTTGTTGCTCAGTCTATATCTGGTAAAAATTTTAACTAATCTTTACATTATAATTATATTGAAGTTATACTATTCAGAAGGAAACAGGAATATCAAATTATAGTTGAATTGAGACCAAAACCCCTGAAAATCATGGGGCACGGTTTTGTTTTGGTTGCTGCTTCACTCTGAGCTCTTTGATCCAATGTGTTCATTGTTCATGCTGAGAAGAAGTATTTACAGATAGGTTAGGTATGTTTGCCATGTCAGGAGCTGCTTTTAGCAAAACCTATTGATGGCAATGGGATCTATATCTGAGAAAAATTCTAGATTTTATCTCCCACGTACCAAATAGTCCTCGTCTCTTGTTTGAAACTCGGGACATACACATCAACCGCTTGCTCCTCCTTGTTGCTCGTCAACTTGACCACCAAGATTGTTAGATTTGCATGAGGTAAGTATTTCATTTCCAAGGAGTTAGACCACTCCGGAATGTCAAATTCTAAGACGATTTAGCCGTCCGTCCGTCTGTTATAATCAGGCTAGAGTCAAAATGAATTAAGATAGGAAGCTAAAATTTGGCTTAGGTCAGTCTTTTGTCTGTAGGCAGGTCAAGTTCGAAGATGGGCTACATCGGCCCACGATGTCATAGAGCCTCATAAAACGGTATGATTTTAGCTACATTATTCACCGGAAATGTTTCAAATTTGTATTTAAAATTCTCAATGGGTACTACAGCCTGTGACAAAAAATTGTCCATGCAGGTCCAGTTCTTCGGGGACTTCTTTCGATATTCCGTATTTTGATGACTGTAGCTAAATTTTTCAATGGAATTGTTTGAAAATCCATACAGGGAGTTTCTGCTGAGACTTTTACCTTCTGGAAGAGTATTGTCTATATAGGTCCACGATATCGTATGACCCCCATATAATGGTCCCTCCCTATATTCCATATTTTGATTATTTTAGCGACATTATTCACCGAAATTGTTTCTAATTTCGTATTTGAAGTTCCTTATGGGTACTACAGCGTGGGACAGAAAATTGTGTATGCAGGTCCAGGTCTTCGTATTGCCCCCATACAACGGTACCTTCCTATATTCCGTATTTTGATGATTTTAGCTACATTATTCACCGGATTTTTTGCCAAGTTTCGTGTTTGAATATTGTAACGGCCTATGACAAAAGTTGTCTATCCACGTCTTCGTATGGATTTCAATATAACGGCGACTTCCTATATTCGGTATTTTTGAGATTTGAACAGAATTTTTAACGAATTTTATTTTTTTGGAAAATTACAAAATTATGGAGGGAATTCAAAATTCGGACCGGCCGAAATAACTGCTATTTTCCTTGTTATTGATAGTTTACAACAACAACTAATTCCATCTTCTATTGCTTTTTTTATTTTTTATGTTTATTTTTCTATTGTTATTGTTGTTTTTTTCTTTACCATACCTTATTCTTTATGTGTCAGTCTTCGCTTTAAAGTTTCCATTGTGGCGTCATAAATTGTTCTCTCTGCCTCACTCGTATTTATAATTACTGCATCCTTTGTTGTTTACGTGCATTCGTTTGTTTGTGTATGTGTGTAAGAGCTTTGTCAAATGCACGTGGTTGCCAATACATTGGAATATTATACAATATCCCGGATGGGGATTCTCGAAACTTCCCTGTTTAGAGGAGCTATAAATACGAGCGAGTAGGAGGCCTATCAGTCCAATATTGAAATGCGACTTGTTAACATTGATTGGTAAAGAGGTAAAGTAAAGCTGTGTGCTAAATAGATTGTGTATAGAGGAGGATTTATAAATACGAGCGAGTAGAAGGCCAGGCAGTTTAGTATTGAAATGCGACTTGTAAGTCGTGTGTAAATTCAATAAAACCTTGCAGGATTCGTCATCTGAACGAACGCTCGTATTGCTTGCTATGATTCACTTCCGCAAATAAAATAGCATCTTTAAGGGATTAAGCTAAATCCAAATTACATAATAATATCGGATATATTTTGAAATTATCCTGACCACTGAGAACCGTAAATGTCAAATTACAACTGATTTGCCTGATAATTAAGGACCGAAACCACCAAAATACCGAAAATCAGCCCCCATACAAGGCTATAGCAAAACATTTATAGGTTTTTTTATTTGTAAAAATTTATTAAATATTTATTTGTGTGAACCCACTTCTTATTTTTTTCATATAATTTATTTACCATCCTCGTTAAAATGTTTTTATCCGACTGTCATTTTGTCTGGCGCGGCCGGCTTTTGACCATGTATGTACTCGTATGTGGATGCATACAACTTTTTTGTTTGTTGTACAATTGTTGCTTATTCAATTAGGAAAGTTCAACTAATTATTTAACGTTTTGCTTTTCTGGCAGTGTGTGTGTGAGTGCGCGCATCTCTGTGTGTGTGTTTGAGCGTATATCTGCCTCTATAGCCGTCTTTATTGACAATTACTGCAAAACAAGTACAATTTGTTTGTTTAATTTGTCTCCATGCATATAATTACACAAATTGAAAGTCTCATTGCAAAAAGATTCTCAACTGGCCTTTTTATTTATTTTTTGGAAATGAAAAAGAAACTCAAACCTCAGAAAATATGTGAGATTTTTTTTTCTGTTTTGAAAATAAAAACTTGAATATTTATTATTATTTAACACTCATTAAGTACCCACCCAAAGGAGGATTTCCATAGAGTAATTGCGTAGAAATAAGGACCTGAAACTTTAAATAATCTCATCAGAACAATTCGATAATTTTTGGTTAATTTTTATTTGTACCAATGAAAACATTTCACATGTAAAGCAATGTTTGTTATTACAGCATTCATTTTTTCCCAAACCCCATGTAAACACATCATTGAGTGTTCGGAATACCTCATTGAACCATGGTGGTGGTGGTGGTGATGGTGTAAACAAAACAATGGAAGCAAAAGTTTATTGTTTTTCTTTGCTGCTTTCGTTCATTTGGATGTTGATCAAAGGTCGACGGTGCTTTGCTGGAACAAGCTATGGAATGAGGGAGAGCCCTCAGCCGAAGCCCTCTTAAAACAATTAACAAATTCTATTTTTAACAAGTGCTTGGTCTATTTTATGTTCACACACAAATCTTAAGGGATTTTTGACGGCCTTCAGATGCGGCTGTTGATTATGAAATTCCTGCCAGGCATCGTACATTTGTGCTCGATTATGATCTTGAAAAATTGACTCATTTCCCGACTTTTATGGGCATTTTTCAAAAATACACTTCAAGGGCCTGTAGCCCCCTGATGGAAGACAGCCGGTGGCTGACTATGCAGCAACAATAAACAGAAAATAATTACAACAAATGTTTGAGCGGAATTGGAACATTTTCATGTGATTTATGACTATGGAAGTGGCTTGCGTTGTATTTTTATGTATTTTGAATTGTGTGTGACACCTCTTTTAAAAAAAGAGAGGGGGAATGTTGTGTGTGTGGTAAGATAACAAGTGCCGTCTATTTATTAAAGTTCAGGTTTATATACATACATTGTAAAGACAGGGTGTTACAAATAATCTTATAATTATATAGGTACGTGACTACACTACATCTCCCTTTTTTTATAATTCAGTTTTAATTCCAAAAACTTGTTTTAATTACATGTTAAAAAGTTCATAAAGTTTTTCAAAATATGTATTTCATAAAGTGCAAGAATATGTAATTATTGTACTTAAAGATTAAGCCTTGAAGGCGGTTTAACATTTCTGCCAGCTCGAGTTGTATAAACATTATTTTCTAAATTAGATCTTTGAACTGGGTTATAATTTTCAATATCATTTCTATCATTAGGTGATTGCTGTATATTGTTTGTTTCATTTTCAAAATCATTATCTGGTGGTGTTGAAATTTCATTTCTAACCCGTATGTGCTCTTCATTTCTTCTATACCTTCTGCCCTCTTCATCCCTAACAACATAAGATCTTGGTTCGTTTGAGCTCTCAGTGATTTCTGCAGGGTACCAAAATGACGAAGGATTTCTTTTAAACATTACTTTATCGCCAATATTCACGTTTTTATATTTCTTCGCAGTTTTGTTAAAACGATCAGTACTTTTATAGGTAAAATTATTCAAATCTCGAATATATTCCTGCTTATTTATGAGAAGGGGCTCTAATTTAGATGTAAGTATAGGAAGATTAGTACGCAATTTTCTGGACATCAATACTTCGGACGGACTAGGTAATTTTCCTTTGGGTGTAGTCCTATAATGCAAAAGGGACAAATACGGATCATCATTTGTTTCTGAAGACTTTTTTAAAATATTTTTCATTATTTGTATTGATCTTTCAGCGAGTCCGTTTGACCTCGGCATATAAGGACTAGATGTGTTATGTATTATACCCCAGGATGAACAAAAATTTTTAAACTCTTTTGAGTTGAATGGTGGTCCATTATCGCTTATCAAATACTGTGGTATACCATGTCGGGCAAAAATAGATTTAAGGCTAACAATAACCTGTGAGCTGCTGTAGCCTGTATTTAATAATGAGACCTCAAAATATTTAGAAAAATAATCTACTATCAATAAATATGTTTTACCTCCATATTCAAATAAATCACATCCCAATTTAAACCATGGAATATCAATTATGTCATGAGACATCATTTCATTTTTTGATTGTGAATTTTGAAACTTTAAACAAATTTCACAATTTGAAACAAGGTTGAAAATATCTGTGTTTATATTCGGCCAATAAACAGTCTCTTTCGCAAGATTTTGAGTACGTTGAATTCCCATATGACTAACATGTATGCGACTCAAAATTTCTTTTCTTAATAATTTGGGAATTAGAATTCTATCTTCCATTAGAATTACTTCCTCAATTACAGACAAATTATGACGAATTTTAAAATATGGCACTAAATTAGGTTCAATTTTATTTTTGTGTTTGGGCCATCCATTTAAAATATAATTAATTAGTTTCTGACATACTTCATCTGATTTTGTATGGTTTGCAATTTCATTTGCATTAGAAAAAGGAATATCAATATATGATTTTATTAAATCAATATGTAATGACGCCTCGTTATCAATTTCATCTAAAACAGTTTCTTTAAGAGCATTCCTCGACAATGTATCTGCAACGTATAGGTATTTTCCTGGTTTGTATCTTACATCAAAATCATAACACTGTAACCGTAACATGAATCTCTGAAGCCTAGCTGGGATTTTGTATAACGGTTTATTAAAAATAGAGACTAATGGCTTATGGTCTGTTTCGACAATTACTTGTTTCATACCATATACAAATTGATGAAAACGAGTGCAACCAAATAAAATTGCAAACAATTCCTTTTCTATCTGTGCGTACCTTGTTTGTGCCTCGGTAAGAGACGCGGAAGCATACGCAATCGGACGACGGTCATGAAGTATAGCAGCACCAACTGCATTCTTTGAAGCATCCACTGTTAAAGTCAAGGTTTTTAATGGATTAAAATATGTTAAAAGTGGAGCTTGTGTCAAAGCACATTTTAATTTTTTGAATTCATCATCATGATTTTTATTCCAATGCCATTCTATATCTTTCTTCAATAGCTCTCTCAAATGTTTGTTGTTGTCAGACAAATTTGGAATATATGAGCCAAAATAATTAATCATTCCTAAAAATCTTTGAAGTTCTGTTTTATTATTGGGACTAGACATATCGACAATTGCTTTAATTTTTTCTTCATCTGCCTTGACACCGTTTTTGTTAAAAATATGACCTATAAATTTGACTTCTTCTACAAAAAATTTTGACTTTTCTTTATTGAACTTGACTCCTACTTCTTTAGCTTTTTCAAGAACTGCCTCAAGTATTTTATCATGTTCTTCCTTTGTTTTGGCATAAATTAGGAAATCGTCAATATAAATAATCAAACCACCAATACCACTGAAAAGTTTTATCATCTCTCCATGAAACATTTCTGGAGCAGCGTTAATACCAAAAGGTAAACGAAGAAATCTATAACGACCAAATGGAGTGTTAAACGTACATAATTTTGACGACTCCTCGTCTAATGGTAACATCCAAAAACCACTGTTTGCATCTAAAACACTGAAAAATTTACAACCACTCAATTGGGCTTTACAAAATTCAATATCTGGAAAAGGAAAATGTGGCCTTAATATAGCCTTATTTAGACTCCTCGGGTCTAAACACAATCTTAATTTTCCATTCGACTTTCTAACTAAAACGATCGAGTTTACCCATTCTGTTGGTTCTTCTACAAATTTTATGACTTTCAAATTTTCCATTCTTTTTAATTCATTTTTTAAATCGGTATGTAAAGAAAATGGCACTTTTCTAGGCGGATCTATAACCGGCTCAACATCAGGGTTGACTACAAGTTTACATTTAGTATTGACTTCGCCTAAACCTTCAAAAATGTTTTGATATCTCTTTAAAATGTCACCACAAGACACAGCATTCACCTTTTTAATTAAAGACATTTGTTCTGCTAACTGTAGACCTATAATATTTTTACATGGCAAGTCTAATACAAAAAATGTTGCATTGTAATTGTGTAGATCATACTTAAATTCAATTTCTACTTTACCAACTACCGGCATGTCTTCTCCATTGAAAGCTACAATGTGCGCTCTTGTAGTTTTAATACGGTCCACCAACTTCAAATTCTCGGCTGTCATCAAAGAGAGAATATTTGCTTGCGCTCCTGTGTCGACTTGTAGTATAACAGATTTGTTGCCAATACATACTGAGATGTTCCATTCTCCTTTGTTTCCCTTAGTGTGAGATAGAGTACCAACAAAAAGTTCTTCTGGTTCATCTTCTTCATTTGCTTCTATCTTCTTCACGAATTTCGCCGTTATTCCACTTGACCGTTGTTGTTGTTGACGATGGTGACTTTGCTGTTGACTTTGTTGAGGATGTTGTTGTTGCTTTCTGCTATAGCACATCTTTGCAAAGTGGCCTCTTCTTTTACATGTATGACATATCACATTTTCTGCAGGGCATTTATTACGGTGTTTTTGTCCACATTTGGTACAGTTTTTCTGCTGACTATGCTTATATGATTTTTTGTTCACCCAATTAACCTGGATATCTTCCTCAGCCTTTTTTAAATGTTGTACATTTTCTCGCGCCAAAATCATACTTTTTGCTATGCCAATTGCCTTGTCCAATTGAATATCTCCTTCACTTAACAACCTTTCTTTGATATTCTGATGTTCTCCAGGAAGACCACAAACAAAAATATCTTTGACAAGGTCATCTCTCAGGGACTCAAACTCACATGTCAAACTAAGGTTTTTCAAGGCAGTGACATATGAATCCAGCGATTCACCTTCTTGTTGTTTTCTGGAGAAGAAGTTGTGACGCTCCATTGCAATATTTTTCTTTGGAACAAAATAGTTTTGCCACTTTTTCACGAGATCATCATATTTTATGGAATCAATATCAATGTTGAAGGAATTGAATGTTGTTAAGCTTTCTGGACCCATGTAATGCAAAAGTAATGCGACTTTCCTCTGGTCACTCAGCTTTTCCAAATCTGACGCACGAAGATATATTTTAAATTGGTTATACCAGTGATCCCATGTGACAGACATATTTGTACTCTTTAAATCTATTGGTTTTATTACAGCTGTGACTGGAACATGCTGCTGGGCAGTGGACGACGTTCCTGCTAACGAGTGTTCTGGGGCCATTTCACAAATTATTTACTGCACCGACCTTATTTATTTTGCGACTTTTTTCTTTATTTAGACTGGACTTTTATTTATTTTTTATGCAATACTTTTATTTGCATTTAATTGACTGTCTTTTTATTTTAATTTTTTGACTTGACACTTTACTTCCACTTCCACTTTTTTAATTAGCGGCATTTAACACCTGACACCATGTTGTGTGTGTGGTAAGATAACAAGTGCCGTCTATTTATTAAAGTTCAGGTTTATATACATACATTGTAAAGACAGGGTGTTACAAATAATCTTATAATTATATAGGTACGTGACTACACTACAGGGAAGTGGAGAAATACTGAAGAAAAGTTGGGTGTTTTCCGATGCAGTTTCTGTTTTGAAAATGGAAATGTTTGTTTTTGTCTATAAGGCAATATTGTATCGCAATGCAGGTCTGATAATTTGTATGGATATTTTTACCTTTAGCGGCTTTTTATTTTTGAAAATATTTTTTTTCACACATCACTGCATTAGAATTAGTTTATCATTGCGCAAAGCAAACAATGTCATAATTTTCTTGCTCTCCTCCTGTTCGAGAATCGTTCACTCACTCACTCACTCGTATTTATAATTACTGGCCCCTTTGTTGTTTACATGTGTATGAGTAGTTAAATTCTCGCTAGATTTATTTGCTCAGTCAAACACTTTGTTGCCAACATAAAAATATTAAAAATTAACAAAAAATTAACTAATTTTCACAACAACCAGTAAAACAGTATTAGACTGTTTAGCCAGCCAATGATCGATTATTCTAATATATTTAGACTTCTGTTATGATTATTCAATTTTTTGACGAGTAGGTTCTGAAAGAATGGATCAATATTGCCCATTTCGTGTCAGACTTAAATAAATGTGATATAAATATTGCGACCTGCTAGGTTCGGACTCTTTTGGTTAATTCCTTAACTATATATAAGGTATGCTTATTTCACTTTCTTTGCGCGTTTTGTTTTTTAAATCGTGAACCCTATGTGAGGGAGGTACTAAAAGAAGTCGTCCGATCTATACCATCTATATAAGAGATCTTCTGTTGATGGAAATATTGAGATGTACAAAGTCTGAATGGAATCGGATGTTATTTTTACGTTTTATGAGCTTCATAGATATTCAAAAATTTTGACCCTTTGTGGGGGAGGTACTTGAAGGAGTAGACCGAGATTATTCAACCTAACATAGCCCTAATGCAAAAAATAGAATTAGCAAAATTGGATCAAAATCGGATCATCCTTTCTCTCTCTGTGCAGCAAAATATTTTCTTTGAAAATGTTGATATTTTGGGGGGAGGTACCAGAAGGAGTGGACCGATATTGCCTATCTCCAAACTCGTTTGACAATAATATTACGATGTACCAAGTTTGAATCAAATCGAATACTCCTTTCGATAGTTATCGTACGCACCAGCCAGATAGATGGACGGATGAATATTGCTAGATCGACTCCAAATGTCCAATAAGACCTAGGGTCTAAAACCGTTATTTCGATGTTGGCCGTATCAAATGATTTATACCTTCTCTAGCCATATGGCTGAGGGTATAGTTAAAAATGTGACTTAAGTCTTATGGGAGGGTACCGTTAGATGGAATCTATTCGTTATCTTCAAACTGCAGACAAAAAGACAGCTCTGCACAAAATCCTAGCTTCCTATCATCAATAGTTTATACTCTACCGAGATTACAACCAACGGTCATGTATGGCTAAAACGATTATTTCAATAGGATAACAACGGATTATATATAAAAAGTATAAAAAAGATTGGTTCAACTTTTGATGCTCTCCACCATGAGTGCATCCATTTCGAATAAGGTAATATTACGATACGCTTTAAAAGCCACAAGATACGGGATATATGAGAACGTGCGTCAAATATGACCCATATTCAAACTTTATTTGCCTGACATGTGTACAAAATTTCAGCTTCCTTTCTAAAGTGCTTTAAAAAATCCAGATGGAGGCTAGATAGCATCAGAATTGTATTTCAACCAAAAATATTTTATGAAAACGTAAAGGAATATTTCCATAAATTACAGAGGGAAAAACAAACTTCAAACTTCCCTTCCATATAATGTATGGTGGAGGTTATGAAAGTCAATGACCATCAAAACGTATACTTCACGTATACGTTATATTAATTATACGTTTTCGAAAATTTTCTTTCATAAGTTTCTACCCATCTACCTGTGCAAATAATTTTGAAATCATTTTTCCACAAATTTTGATAAATGATTTGACCAAAATGATTAAATAAGACAAATGAATACCCATTTCAAGTTATCTGCCTCAATTAATTTGCTAATGAAGACAATAATGACCAATTAATATTTTTAACAAAATAACGTTTTGTAAAGCAGCCACAAAAAACCTCATTTTTAACTCTTCCTTGAGAAAACGGAAAACTGGCATGCCTAGTTGTGTTGTCATGACAACAGCAATAACAATAAACTGACCTCATCAATCCACATCCAATGCTGGCCTCTATTTGTCCAAATGCCGTTGGTAAAAATAAATTCCCCATCGGCATTTCTGCGCCAAAATTAGTGGGCTTAGTTGAGAGTTAGTTTCATGTTGTTACTCCATTTCATTCTGTTTTACTTTTTAATTCTTCTTTCGCTTTTAATTATTTGCTTTGTTTGTTTTGAAGAGCTGGTTAATTGTGTTGTGTTTGTGATATAAACAGTTAAATTTACCAAACAAACACTTGGTGCCGCCAGCCAGTTGGCTTAGTTTGTTCTTCAACCAACAACGAAAGAGAGAGAGAGAGTGAGATTAAACTCTTTGAGTACCAAAGAGAGTACATTTACGAATAAGAGTTGTGTGAGAAAAAGTGTTTTTGTTTTAATATTATTTAGTATTTTATGTTTTGTTTTTTTTTTCTTCTTCTATTCTTGTTCCTCTTCTTAGCTGTTTTTGGGCTACTAACTCTAACAAGTGACATCATCACCATGGCGCGTATCCGACTGTTGTTGTCGACACGGTGTCGCAATTAAGAAAAAAAAACTGCTCTCACACACAAATACACGCACAGCTAATACTTTGACATACATCTATAGATATAATATTCGTAGTATGGCTGTATGTTATGTATGAAACGTTGTACAATGTTTTTATACGATGTCTGATTATGCCTACCCGACGTCGAAGGCGACGACGGCGACGGCGGCATTCATAACGATGACACACTGCCAGTTAAACAGACAGTCGTATGGATGTATGTACATATGTGGATATCATACATTTCCATAAAGAATCACAAACAACAGTTCTATCCATAATATTGGTGTTCTAAGATGTACGATGTACATTTGTACGTGGGAATGTTCTTCTCATATGTTCGTAGGTATGTGGATATTAAACAAGCAGTCATATATAATAAACACAGCACACACACACACATGCATACATAGTCGAATTTGAAAACAGAGAAAAGAAAATATTTTTATTTTGCAATGACTGCAATGACAGAGAATTTAAGATTTTAAAAAGAAAGTGAAAGCGGCATGGGAGAACTTAAAAGACAGGTACATATATTTAGATTCAGATTATCAAATTTAGATTAAACACAATCATTTCGGTATCTGATTAACACCAATAATCTATTTTTATACCCTTCACCTTGGAAAGAAGGGTATATTTACATTGTCATTGCATTTGTAACACCCCAATATTTTCGACGTAGACCCCATACAGAATATATACTCATAATCAGCACAAAATTCTAAGTCGATTTAACGTTGTCTGTCTATGCAGCCCAAAATTATTTGACGTAGAGCCTAAAACTTTGGCAGAACAATTTGTATTGTGTCTAGGATGGTTGGTATTTAAAATGAGATATATCGGTCCACGTTTTGGTATAGCAGCCATATAACGGTACCTCCCCATATTCGGTATTTTGATGATTTTTGACGTATTTTTCCACGATTTGTCTAAAAAATGATATGGTTTGTAATGGGTTTTAGTTCTGGTGGCGGAATATTGTATATACAGGTCGGCGTTTTCGTATAGCCCCCATATAACGGTACCTTCCGATATTGGGTATTTTGTTGATTTTTACCATTTGGTATTTGTAATGGGTCCTAGTTTTTGTGTGCAGAACACGTTTTTGTATAGCCCCATATAACGGTACCTCCCGATATTCGGTATTTTGATGATTTTAGCCACATTTTTCCACGGATTTATCCAATATTTCGTATTTGTAATGGGTTCTAGCTGCTGTGACAGAACATAGTATATATAGGTTCACGTTTTTGTATAGCTCCACATAATGGTACCTCCGGATATTCATTATTTTGATGATTCTTGCCACATTTCTCCACAGATTTGTCTAAAAATTGGTATTTGTAGGTCATAATGGGTTCTAGCTCCGGTGGCGAAACATTGTATGTATAGGTTTTTGTATAGCCCCCATATAACGATACCTCCCGATATTCAGTATTTTGATTATTTTTGCCACATGTTTTCATGGATTGGTCTAAAAATTGGTATTTGTAGTTCATAATGAGTTCTTGCTCTGGTGGCAGAACATTGAATATTTAGGTCCACGTTTTGACATAGCGCACATATAACGATATCCACCGAAATTCGGTATTGGTTTCAAATATGGTATTTAAGAAGATTTGGTAGATGACAATCCTTGAAGTATAAGCTTGTCTATACAGGTTCCCGTTTGGGTCTGGCCCCCATATAACGGCCTCACCCACTTTATGGTTTTTTGAGACACGTTTGAATTCAGACACGTTTATATAAAAATGTTTTCTTTATTCAAAGTTGGAGGTTATTAAAAGTTCGGGCCGGCGGAACTTAATGGTTTTTACTTATTTTTCTCTTAATTTCCTTTTTTCCATACCTTCAACAAAATACTGAATGCCAAACGATGTCAATGTTCTATACCTTGATTTGATTGTCACAACTGTGCTGTAAAATACACGATCTAATGTTACGTACAATCCATCGGACAATTAAATTTTCATAAAATTGCTACTTATTTGCTTATTTGTTATTTCCCATAAATTCGTTGTATCCCATTTAGAATCTACGGCCAACCAAAGATCCAATATCCATATAAATATTTCGTTGCAAACACCTGTCTCAAATACCCAACATGGTGTCGAGTATTATATAGCCTGTACTGGGCTCTACAGTGATTAATTCATTATTGACACCATTCGTGGTATGTGATAGTACTACGGAAAAGTCAGGTGAAAATGTACTATGTACACACAAGTACATTTTACAACATTTCCATTGTATTTGATAATTTCCAGCAGTTTTACGACTTGTTA